ACCATCTAAAATTGGCATAATTTTTATATTTTCATAATGCCATTCTCCATTGTTCATCTTCTCATGCTCTTTAATTTCTTCTCGCAATTTATCTTGAATATCCTGATGCTGGGCTAATTCGTAAAGTGCATTACTAATTGTCGATGATGAAGTTTCAAAACCAGCTATAAAGAAGACTAATGCTTGCCCAACGAGAAGGTTATCAGTCAATTCTGAAAAAAGATATAACTCTAACAGTTAAGTAATAAACATATTATATGTTTATTACAACTTATCACTGAGTCAGGAGATAAATAGTATTGAGTGACAATGTAGTAATGATAATTAAAAACGAGTGAATATGTTGTTTACTTCAGGAATGAATGATGACACCGTATCAATTATTATATAGTAAATACTACGCATATAATAAAATGCACAAAAATATTGCGATGCGTCATCTGTCCAACAGACGACTATTCGATGGTTAACCGAAATTGTAATATCATTTATGTTAAGTGTAGATTATTGGAAACCCGAGAACCTCGAAAATTCTCGAAACTTAAGAGCGAACAGAGATCAGAGAATTCAAAATTTTACACTACTATATTCCTGTGATTCAAAACTTTCGAAATTCAGATTAACCCTTTGCACTCGACAGTATTTTCCACTACAAATATTTATTACTTTCTGATGAAATATTAATAAATATTAATATTAAACATTTTTCACAACTAACACAAGAAATTATCTTGCATGAATTAATGTGTTGTGAATTCCACATGTGGACCCATTATAAACAATTAAATACTGAATTTTAAATTTTGTAATTTTATTGCGTCAAATCAGATGTCGGTTGAAAGACATCTCGAGTGCAAAGCGTTAGAAAGGTTACAAAATCAATGAATGAGGAATCGTTTATAACGTGAATATAAAATGAAGAATTTAGTGAATACACCTCGCACTAGAGTGGACAGTGAAAAAAGTAAAGTATATCTCCATAAATCTTTATAACGCGTAACAAATGTTGACTTCAATCTTTACAAAAAGATATTTCTCTCGCAAAACAAAATCAGCATAAAGTTTGGAATCCGAGTCACAAGCATTTAAAAATTAGGTTCTATCTCACTTTAATTCATATCTAATTAATATACCAGAAGTTAACATGTTAACACTGCCACAAGAATTTTGAGCATTTTGTATGTTAATACTTATACTTTCGTAACAATGTTAAATGATATTAAAAGTAATTACTACTAATCTGATATCACAGTACTAATGTTACACTATTATCTAGTTACATATGTTACTAAATATTTTTATTCGACATGAATTTTGCATAACACTAGAGCATGACCTTTTGCATAACACTAGAACAACCGAGCATTTAACATGATTAATATGTAGTCTTTATACAAATTCTAACAATAGATTTTTTCGGATATTTAACACTTTTACGATATCAATAATTGCGAAATAAGAAAACTGAAACCCGTCGTTTTGACGAGTGTGGTTATTCTAGTGGCAGTTATCAATAATATTGCATACGTACCGATATCTTGCAGTTTATCTGGATGCATTTTAAGATCAACCAGCGTATTCATGAAATCCTTTTTGATGATATTATTTTTTATTCTGTGGTCTATCATTTCCAACACCCTCTTCTTAAAGGCATCATTGCCAACGGGGTACGGTATCACATAACCAAGCATGGTGTATATCCATGGAAAGTATTCTCTTAGTCTAAATCTTATTAATTTTATATACTTGTAAGAAGTAAACTTTTGTCCTATAACGCAAAACTCTGACCCCTCCGCCGACATTGCATTCATATTGACACCAAACACGCAACTGCCAATGACATCCGTAGTGTACCTTGCTGCCAATTCTCGAAAATCGACTTCATCGCTGGTAGCTAGCAATGTTTCTAAATAATTGTTAAGATTGTTGGAACATTCGAGAATCAGAGTGAACAACTCTTTAAGCTTGCCGCTTGTGAATACTGGCGAAAGACATCTTCTCACTGGCCGCCATCTTTTCGAGTCGAGAGCGAACAAGTGTATTGAAAGTGGCTCTGCCTGTATTAAAAAAATGTTTATATATTTAATCAAGTATGCGAGCTGTATACACAGAAAAAATCAGAAGTTTTCACTTAATAGTTATTAACAACGATATTCCTAAAGTTTACCTATGTTTAGGACTCCTCTAGGTGGTGTCCCCCTTAATGAAATTATTATTGTCAAACGAATAGAATTATTTTATTCTAATTACTTTATTCTAATAACATTATTCTGGTAATTGGTCTATACCATTTTTATACTAATTTATTATAGTATATAATAAACTTATTTCTTGCTTATATAGTAAGAATACTATATAGTATTTATATGTATGCAATAAAAGTATTAAATAGATGAATATGACTTAAATAATTCTTAAAAGTAATTTGTTAGAATTTAAATTTATCTATGTTTCTGTACTTACTACTTCATTATACTCAAATGCACGATCAGAGAACTTCGTAAAATCTTTAATAAGCACTGTTTTAATTAACTCAGGATCATTTACAACCAAAGCCGGTTGTCTATTTATGAATATGCCAACCATAGGACAGTTTTTGTATTTTTTGTAAATAGAACTCAGGAACACAACCATTGTCTCTTTTGAAAACAGCAATGGCGCAGCATTTCCAAAAAGTGGTATCGGTTTAGGTCCAGGAACGCCTTGTTTCTTCCAAAAATTGTAAGGTCCTATCAAATAGTAATAAACCAGAAGAGACGCCAGTGCAATGCCACAAAATATCTCGATTCCAGTCATTTTTTATTCAGTTTCGTTCAATTTCTCAATAAGCGAAATCCATTTAGTGATGAACTGCAAAATAGAAAAAAGATGAATATTAATATTTCTCTTTTCTATGAAATTTGTAACGTACACTACATTGTTATCAGTCTTCAACCATGTTCAGTGGCTGGAAATATTGAAAACGCGCGTCAAACTTTAAAATATTCATTATTTGTTTTATAATCGATAATATTTTTTCGTTTAATATTGATTTGTATTAAAAATGAAATTTATCCGTTTAAAATATTTACTTCTTTTGATATAATTCGTTAAATAATCATATAGTTATCACATTGATAATTAATTAAAGTAAAGTTAATTAAAGTAATAATTAAGTAAAGTTTATTTAAGAAAATACTTCGTTTTATTATTAATATATTATTATTTGTTGTATATATAAAAAACAAACAAAGTGTTTCTAACGTGATCTTAAAACTACGAAGAGAATTATTTTATACAAAAGACTAAGTAGAAGATATACAATAATGTTATCTCACATGATACTTTATCTACGAAATATATAATCGCGTTTAAGAATTTATCAAACACAAGTATCATTCAAAAGGAAGTAGCTTATATTTCTGACCGTTTTTTATCATTTTCAGATATAAATGTCTATATATATATATTCACTCTTTATGCAATTGTATTGTATTACGATTTCAAGAACAACCTATACAATCAAATGGAAGTGATGATAAACATGGAATCGTACTCTTATCATACTTCAATGTTTTACATACGCGCTTTCAGAGATAACTCTGTGCACAAATTCTTTTCAGTTTTTTCTGGTGCTTAAGGTGTTAATCAGTTCACATAATTAGGGTTACTAATACTTCATCGCATTAGAGTTCAACGTACGTTAACAGTTAGTATCGCAGAAATAAAGCAATGTAATGAGTCTATGTTATATAATAATTAGTCTGGCTGTTATCACAATATATATCTATAAACTGTCTGAAATTTATCTGAAAAATATTACTGTTTTGACGCATACTTCCATTAATAATCATTCAGTATTTTGCATTACTGTATCTTACCGATATTCTGTATATGACTATCATCACGTGAGAGCACTGTTCTCATCTACACTATCTATTTAAAATAAATGAAATGGTGTAAAGAGTTTGTAGAGTAATATTTGGAATTTAAATAACGTAGACAAACACAAGAAATATCACTCGACTATAAAAAATTTATCACGCAGAGGGAAATGATCTTCATTTTACTTGCATCCATTTTACAATTAGATTATTTTATTTTTATACACATAAAATGGTTCCTAATGAATGTTTGTTCATATACAAAGAATAGAAGAAGTGATATTGCACAGGATTAGGTTGCAGTTTTCTAATACAATTTAAAATAATGCATCCTTCATTTCAAAAATTAAATACGACTTACAATTTAGTAAAACTCTACGTTTAGATACAAGTACTTTTCACTTATAATAGCAAAATAGTTTTTTGCTTTGATCCATGCACATTAAACAACATTGACGTTTATTAAACTGATCCCGAAATCTTCATCACGAGTCTCACTCATCATTTTATGGCAAGGGGTTAAGTAAACGACTTTTAGAAAAACTAGCTCTTACTTGAAATTCTGGCAATTACAATTACTGGGATATAGGACGGAACAGGCGATGGCACAATCTGAGACACACTGGTTGCTAACTGCTTTCTGTCTGCCTACTTATGATATTATTATATGAAAAAATTATCACATTCCTTGTACCCCCCTTCTGAATTCCCTCTTTCTTAAATCATACACCTGTTTATAATCGCTTTATACATATGTTTCACTGTTCGAAGCAATATGAAATTTGAACTTTCGTTACCGGGTTCAACTGTGATAAGAATACCAGAAAACTCTGTACAAAGATACTTTTTTTTACAAATTTTCAGTGAGTGCAACATATGCAAATTAAATCAGAAATAAAAATTTTTTAATAGTAGAATAGTCATTCTCCTAACATGAAATTTCATTTATTACAAATTTCAAGAAAACTATCTGTTCGTTTAAGTGTTTTATGATCTCGTACCTTTTTGGATAGAATGTAATCTGATAATGTGTAATATAATTTTATATTATAAAAATATAATCTCGCTTCTTTCTAACATAGAACATTCCTTTCTTCTCTTAAACCATCGACATCTTCTGTTAAGTGTACGAAAATCAACTTTTTTCAATTTAAGGTTTTTGGAACAAAAACAAAAAAACCATGTAACACCTAAAAATCATTTTTATCATTTAGATTTTGATGATTATTATAAGTGTCGCGTTGCACGTCAATAATTGTAGTTCATAATTTTTAAAAAATGATTAAAAAATTAGTTGATTTTATTGTTATAACTGCAGTTTCTACCCCTAATACGTGGTCTGTTTTATGAAAGAAGAGCCCCTGAGGGTAGTCCGCTTCTGACCGTGTATTATTACTCTCTCGGTGGCTCGATAAAGTAAATTTTTACGTTTATCGAAGATAGTTTACGCCATGGCGTTCAGAAGTTTCAACAATATTTGTTATCTCAGAAGATATTAATCATATATAATTCGTTTTTACTTTATATTGACCAGAAAGAATTGAACTTTTTGAGAAAATTTTAGTTTCAGTTTGAACATTATTTCCGAACAATATAATGATAAATAAATTATTTTATCTACTTCGTCTTAAAATAATAACTTCAAAATTCTAAGAAAAATATAGTCGGTTTCTTTAGAATTCTGCTTAGACAACGCAAGTTTAAAAATGCAGTTCATAATGATTCAAACCATAACTGGTTGTATTAAAAATGACAGCAATGTGTCAGAATACACGTATATGTAATAGTTACATAGATACTCTTATAATAATTACTTAATTGCACTAATTAAGACAGATATTTATAGCAGATATATACAGCACGATTGCGTGAGCGACACGTGACAGCAATAACTCGCTGATAAATTAATATCTTGACGCTCATTGTTACTGATATGATCCCAGCCGGCCAATGGCTCAAAAGTGAAGAGGGGTAAGGAGATTCGGCCGCCGCTCCACCGCAACTTACAGCTGGGCCAGTAACAAAGACGTGTCAAAACTAATTCTGTCACTACTATCGAACCAAGCGCCGCGAGTGGACGTCTTCCCTTGCGCCTCTTCACTTTTAAGCCGCAGGTCGGCTTCATTAACGTGAGATGCTTACAGTACTTGTACTTCGCTCCAAACTAATATAAGTATTTATCAGTATATTGAGTATATACTTAGTATTAGCATATTTCATTGAATTATTAGGTATATATGTTACGGTAAATGTGATTAATCCCGTGATTATGTATAATTGTCGATTATAATATATAATCACCACTAAGTTTGGTAAATGTGATGAATTCTTGAATATTTATCAAATTAACCGGCGAGTTTATATAATTCCCCACTCGTAATGGCGAATGTGATAAAAGTTCGTTACTGTTCGTTATTGGCGGTCTTTGTCGATGTCGGATGCACTCCCTTTTTTTCTTACGCGGTCCCTTTGACGAGCACCAAACGCGTACGTGTCGCGATCAGACTTTGTCAAAAAGTCTGGCAAACTTTGTAATTCCAAATGTAATAACAGCCTAATACGTTTAAATAAGTAAACTTAAAATATTTAATCATTTGTAGTAGTAGCAATAAACGTTATTTGGAAAAATGTATTTTTTTTCTCTAGAATATGGGTTTAGTTTGTCTTTGGTATGTAACTGTTCTGTATGAGTTCTAATAAAATTATTTTCTCTACTTAGGTCTTTCATTTGATAAAACATGTCAGTCCCTTATTCAAATTTCGTTCAGGCTACATCCATGTGACTTAAAATAGCCATTTATTGAATTTATAATTCTATTCTATCTAATAGTAAATTTTACTAATAGTAAATTTTAGTAAACTTAATTAATTTTTAAAAACATTTCAGATATCTAATTCTTTCAAGATATTAATAAACAAAAGATAATAAAATATATACCAGCCATTTTGACTGATTCAATAGTTTTAGTGTTAATCATCGTAATAATATTACTCGTATATGTGTATTCACATATTAAACAGCAAATTATTTAAAACAGAACGGTCGTGAAAAGATTTTCAGCGACTAAAACGATAGTGGCTATCACAAAACAAAAATCGTGTTCTACAGTGTTATTAGTTACAATATAATTGATTAGCATAACGATAGTTATGAAAGTTATAATAGCTATGATAGTTATGGTAGTTATGATAAGGTAGAATACAAATAAGTATTACTAATAAGTGTATTTACATTAAGGATAATAACAAAAATAAGTTTATTACAAAAGAAAAATCATAATAGAGCTTTGAACGGCTCAAACAAGAGTATATACATATAATATACATATAATACACGTATCAAAAATTTTGAAAATGTAGATATCTCAGATGACGTATAATTGAATGTTTGTACTCCACAAATAAGTACATATATATAATACATTCCCAGGAAAATTTTATGTATAGAATATAAGTATATAAATACACAATGTATTCAACGCACTTTTCTTAACGAGCCTATTTAACATTAGGTTTTCTATTATTTCTAGACAAACTGATGTTTGTAAATATACAATTGGGACATATAGTCATACCATTGCATCAATCAAATTCGACGTAAACGTGTACCAAATACTATTTATAAAGTTCAATATTCGTCAAATTGACACGTTTCGTAAATTTAGTATTAATTCTACATATTACAATTTGCATGTATTTACCTAACACGACTAGTATGACAAATCAGAGTATAATGTTCTAGTAATTGTTACTCATTTCATCAAATGAGACATATTAAAAGCATAACAAAATAGAATGTTTATTATGTAATATTAATCCTTAAAAGACCATAAAGAAAGGTAATGTTAGAGACCAGTGGTGTCAAATTATCCATACATGGAAAGTGGTTAAAAAAAGTGTTTATATATTGTTTTAAATGTATGGTATTACTTTTTAATGGTCTATGTATACTTATAAACAACAATTTTGATGACTGATAAAAGACTTTTGAATAGACGTAAGTGTCAAGTAAGTTCAATGAACTCTTCTGGTCTTTTAAGGGTTAAAAATGTTTCTGTTTACTTTCCGTATTACTGCTTTACAATTACTGCTTCAGTTACTAATTGAGTATTTGGTATCTACATTAAATTCTTCTTTGTACTAATTTTTGTACTAATTTCCTTCAATTATCATGCATTTAATGATATTTGTACAAAACCGACGTGGATTAATATAATAGACGCTGCATTGTATGATGAAGTACTCCTAGACTGCAGCAGTGCAGCATTAATTATATAAACCATGTAAGTATGGTAATAAATCGATTACAGTACTTGAATGAAAATAAAAGTAAATGTAAGTTAATTGTAATTTACTGTTATTATACTGCAAGATTATTGTTATTACGCTTGAAAACCATACTTGAAGTGCTATTATTTTATTAACTCTCAATTTTGGTCACTTTCAGAGTTATTGGATGGGTTGGAGTCAGCAAGAAGGCACGTTCATTAATTTTATACGGAATTACAGTATCTTTGCAAACATCCACTTTATGATTACGAAGTATCTTTATGAGTCCAATTTTCGTTTGGAAGATCGCGAACCGTGCACCTGAAACAAAACGTACAATTCCTTATATTACTCGATAATAAATTATAAAATTGATGCATTACGTTTACAAAATTGATACAAATCTTTGTTGTCACTTTATGTTTCAACTTTCCAGTGTTTTTGTTTTTCGTAAACTATAATTTGTAGATGAGAAATACGATATTACAAAAAGCACTCAACCCAGTTTCAGTAATCATTTTATGGAATATATGCTTTGTAAAAACTGTTTAAAAAATTCTTTAATTCAATTCTTTATAGAGTTAATAGAAGCATCTACTTCATATTCCGCTAGCACTGTGCAACATATTTGAACTTTCTTTGTGTCGTGTAATATCCACTAGGTAATCCTTATAGAGTTCCTTGCCTTAAATATGAATCCGAAAACCAAATTCCTGGGTCACGTCCAGTTTTGGAAAAACATGGGTTTCTATTTTTACGACAAATTCGAACTGCCTGTCGTTTTTCGTTTTCACATAACACTCGTTTCTTTCAAAAATTCGATCGTTCTTACAAAAACCCACGTTTTTCCAAAACTACATGTGACCAGCAATTTTGTTTTGGGATTTATATTTAGGACAAGGAGTTCTATAAGAATCACCTAATGGCTATTACAAAACAAAAATCGTGTTAAACAGTGTAATTATACAAACAGTTCTTTCTTACCAATACAATTCCTTGGGCCATCTCCGAAGGGTAAATAGTGCATTGGATGTCTTTTTGATTCTTCCTCTTCTTTAAATCGATCGATATTAAACACTTCAGGATTTGGATAAATATCTGGATCGTGGAGCATTCCATACATGGGTATTAACACGGTTGTACCTTTGGGTATCCAAACTTTCATGTCCTCAAAAGTGTAATCTTCCACTGACTTCCGTAATAAAGCTGATAATGGTGGGTACAGTCTCAATGTTTCTATAAAATTAAATGAAAAAATTGTTCTTTAAAGAAACCCTATCTATGTCGAAAACATTTCTATTTTACTTATTGAAAATAACATTTATTTGATTGAAGATACAAATATTTTCAATCAGTTTGAGATACATACCTTTAAATACACCATCTAAGACTGGCATTGCTTTTATATTTTCATAATGCCATTCTCCATTGTTCATCTTCTCATGCTCTTTAATTTCTTCTCGCAATTTATCCTGAATATCCTGATGCTGGGCTAATTCGTAAAGTGCATTACTAATTGTCGATGATGAAGTTTCGAAGCCAGCTATAAAGAAGACGAACGCTTGTGCTGCGAGTAGGGAGTCCGTAATTTCTGGAAAAATACAATGAATGTTTTACATGTACTTCTTGGATACACATTTTTTTAAATAATACGATCACGGATCCTTGGGTATTATTAATTTAGTGCTTTCTACGTAGTTAAAACCATAACCACGAAGCTGTGGATACTGTTTTAACACTTAGCCAACCGAATGGTGAAATGTCCAACTCTTCACTTAGCAACGTGTTGCCTTTTATTCCGTTTATATTTTATTTTATTATGTGGCAAGCCTTCAACTAAGGTTATTTCCGATTCATCAAATATCTTATCTTATTAAAAACAATTAGATTCCTCAATTAATAATGAATAATGTTACAATTTTTAGTGAATTAATATGATTCATAGTGCTATGAGATTAGGCATGTAGCCTTTATCGGGGTTCTATTTTAACACGTTCACTGCCATGAGAATTTTAGGCATTCTATATAATATTCCTTATTCTTTTATAACAATGACAAATCGTGTAGTAACCGATTCACTGCTGGCATAAAATGTGTGATTTCATTTGTACTTTCAATTTTTTTTGCTTTATATTACAACACATTTCAAATACAACCAAGATTGTACCAAACTGGAAATCTCTTGCTACAAGTATATTCGTGACTGGCAACGAATGGGTTAAATAATAATGCGAATTTGTGAAGATGATAATAATAACGTCACTAAGGATTGCTTATCAATTTGAGTAATAGATAAGTGAACTGATTAGATACGTTAGATACAATTAGATACAGTATAGTACACAGTATAGTACACAGCAGATCAAATTATGTTCTTTTAAACAGAACACTTAACTTTCCAAGTATTTCATTGAGACGATAAATCCTTTACGATGCTATTTAATATCAGTTAACGCATTATCAGTACAAATTGTCGAAACAATTCGAAAATTATCAGTTATCATCTACCACAACGATTTTTATTGTTGATACTTGTACCTACCAGAAATTTGTCCAGAACGTCGCTAGAATGTTACACTATTAAATGTAGAAATTAACTCCATGCTTTTTAAAAACTAATTTTCTACCTAAATACCAGAAAATTATACACCTTTCAACCCTCATAATATTTAATATTACCTTCCATGAATTAATTTCCATAACTAATACATTTAATCAAACACCCTGTGTATACACTAGTACTATGTAAAGCTGAAATGTTGAAATATAGAAAAAATGCAAATTTAGTTAGTAATATAATGTATATAATTAAACAATATATAGACAACGAATTAACCGAATGAACCCCTTACCATACAATATAGCGTCAGACTCGTGAGATAGATCTCAAATTGAAATTAACAAAAATAAATAAATCCCAATTTTCTTTACTCACAATGAAATATTGCATTTTTGTTATCAACTATTATACTTTAAAGTAAATGTGGGTATAAAGCAACATGAAGTTCTCTTTTGTTGCCAGTAAATTATTAATGACAAAGTAATTCTCGGTGGTGCAATTATGAAATAAATCGTAGATTAAGGGGTTAATACCGAGATCAAGTATGTAGTGAACACTGGATAATTGCAGTATACAATGGGACCGGAAGATTGCAGTATGAAGAGGCAGAATCGAAGATTTTAGCACAGCTGACGTAGAAAAGGACAACGCGAGTGAAGGAGAAACAAAGACTGAGAGTCAGAGCGTTGGCAACATTAAAGGCTTGCGACGAGATGCAGACTTTTAACTCAAAAATCAAACTTTGTTATTTTTTATTTTTGATTAATGCAACTTTCACCATCACGTTTGTCATGTTGTTATAATTAAAATGACACCAAACACAATAAAATTACGATAATAATTGCTTTATAATAAGCAACTGAAGTTTCGGATATAAAAAAGGACTGCGAATAGAAAAGATAGAGAGCAGGTTTCAACGTGTATGGGGGCCTTTAGATACGTCTGGTATAGAACATTGCATACGTACTGATGTCGCCCAATTTTTCCGGATGCGCTTGGATGTCTATCAACGTATCGATGAAATCTTTCCGGACAACATTATTCTTCTTTCTGTACTCCATCACTTCCATAACAGACTTCATAAAGAACGTCGTGGTTTCCTGCTGCGGTAATACGTAACCGAGTATAGTGTATAACCACGGTGTCAAATCTCTTATTTTGACTCTTATTAACTGTCCGATCGAGGTAGAGAAGAATTTCTTTCCTACTCTACGAAATTCAGATTCCTCTTCGGACATTGAATTCATGTTGATTCCGAACGCACAGCTGCCAATGACATCGGTAGTGAATCTTGCTGCCAATTCTCGACAATCAATTTCATTGCCATTTGCCAACAATTTGTCCATATATTTCTCAAGACCGTTGGAACATTCGAGGATCAAACAGAACATTTCTTTAAGCTTGCCGCTTGTGAATACTGGCGAAAGCCTAGTTCTTAATGGTCGCCATCTTTTCGGCTCCAGAGTGAACAGGTGTTGCGAGAGTGGATCTGTCTATATTGTAAGGTCGATATACAGTTAATATGATAAACTTCTTTTTACCTTCTTTTAAAAATAAGAACTATAATGATTATACATATATAATTAAATTATTATGATAAATTAATATACAAAATTAATCGGTAATATATATTCTGTAATTCATAAGTTTTAAGTATAAACTAAATATCAGTACATATAATAACGATACTACTGATAATGTTTCTTTAAATAATTATTTGTTTTTTATAAATATGTTAACAGTTTCTTTTTGTTGGCAGTTAGCTGTCTCATATAGAAACTATACAGAATATAAACTGAATATTTCTGAACTACTTGAATAGAGAATTTTATTATTTTATAAAATAAGTTAAATTCTGATAAATGAAACGTTATACTTGGCATAGTTCATGCAGATTCTTTTATTAACTAATGGTTAATTAATTATACATGTATATCCATTACTTTTTCAAAATTTAATGTAAAAGTTTGTATATTTGGCGTGTTAAGTATCGGCCAAGTTTTATGTTTTTGTTTAGATGATATCTTGGAAAATAACTGTGCTAATAGAATATGCGATATTATGTTAAGAATTAGTGTAATTTATTGTAACAGTTGAAACAAAGTTGAGTTTTGCATTTATTTACGGTTTATTTTAGGCAGTGAGCGTATTTCACCGTTGAACGGTGGCGAGTGGGACAAACTTCAACAGGATAAAATAGACGTTCCACTTAATGTGTTAACATACACTTAAAGTAATTTCAGCTAAGTTCAATTTTTACGCTATTCATCTATATACGTTTAAATTGCTTAATATTTCAACAAATTGTTTGCCTCGAATTAGAAGAATGAAATATTCTTATCTTATCTAAATTCTATTGTTAAAATATTCATTTACGTATAATTAAATTATTCAATACTTCAAAAAATTATGTAACTCGCGACAAAGGAATAACAAATTTCTTATCTCGTATTTACAAAACGTATCCCTTTACTCAAAACTTGTAACAACTAAATCCTTCTAATAGATATTTAATAGGTTTACATACTCACCACTTCATTAAAGTTAATTCCACGACTAGAGAATTTCGTAAAATCTTTGATAAGCACTGTCTTGATTAGGTCGGGATCGTTTAAAACTAAGGCAGGCTTCCTTCTTAGAAATATACCAACCATGGGTTCACTTTTATATTTTTTGTAAATGTCTGCCGTGTAGGAACCTAACGATTTCTGCGAGAATAATATTTGCTTAGTCGTACCAAAAACTAGTTCTGGTTCAGGCCCGGGAACTCCTTGTTTCTTCCAGAAGTTGTAATGTGCTACTAAATAGTAGTAAAACAGAAGGACCACTGCGACAATGCCACAGAATACTTCGATCGCAGCCATTTTTATTCTGTTTTTATCAACTTTTCAGGAAACGACAGTCAGCTACCGAAGAACTGAAAAATACAATAAGAACAATCGTCAATACATTTTCATTTTCTATGAAATACATAATATATCCTACTATATTATTTTCAATGTTGTTGGGTGTAAACTTGTATTTATTTTTAGGGGTATGGATTAAAGTAATTTACAGCGGTAGAATTCAACATTTTATATTTTTCTAATTTATTATTATAATAAGATTTAATTTTTATAATCCTTTAAAGTATTGTACTTTTTCAAGCAATTTACAACATTCTAAGAACGTTACTAACGTTCTAACAACGTTATAAGAAATTTGAATTATCATCTTAAGCGTGACATATGAGTGCAAAGGGTTAACCCCGTGCTCTACAATATCATATCAAACTCGTGGCGAAGATTTCAAATAGAAATTAACAAACATAAATATTATTTAATTTGTTTAAATGCAAATTACATATTATTCCTCGATTGTCAATGATTATACTTTAGCGCACGCGTTGACATAGAATAAGACTAGAATTGTTCTCTCATTTTCACTAAATTATTAATAACAAGGTAGTTAGGTTGATCGTAGTTCAGAAAGAAATCATAGAGCAAAGGGTTAAATGTATTAACACCAGGAAAAGCTCATGCGAGTTAACACTAAAAGTACCAGGCAGCTCAAAATGACCCATTTCTAATTTTTGTTTTTGCAATTATTGAAAAGATAACAGATGATTCTCTGAGAAATTATTGAAAAAATTGATTTAGCAAATAGGTAAACTGAATTATAAATCAATTGCACTCTCAATAGATGTACTGTTGCAGTTTTTACAGAGAAATTTAGAAAAATTAATTTGAACGCTCGATAGTTCTAGTATTAAATCAAAATTTGAACACGGAGAATGTTTTTGTAAAATAATTTTATTTTATTTAATATCAATAGCGTAAAACTATCTTGCTGGTACTACCAACTTCATTTATTAAACTAGTGATATACTAATTGAAATCGGATCTCAATCCATTGCTACGAAGAAAACCGCATGAGTTTTTTCCGATACCCAATGACACAAATGATAGCTACTCTAGAAGCGTTCAGTTCTTGGTTTTATATGTTAACAGTCACGAATGTAAGCACCATACCAATATCTCTACTACTGTAAACATTAAGAAGTTGTCGCTCGAATTTTGCATTACGAAATTTACATTTTTCTACTCTTTGGGAGGTTTTACATTTTTCATGCTAAAAAGTTGGAACGAAAAAATTTCAAAAAATTCTTAGCTATGCACTGCTATGCCAGAAATGTCTCCGAATTTTTACATAATCAAAAAAAAAAATTGAAATAGAGGACTGAAAATTGGTGTACAATGTTTATGATTAATAAACTATCGAAGGAAACTTTCTCAAAAAAAATCGGTCTATGGGCACTTTTGACCCCCTTGTCCTGCTATACCCGTTTCACCACTGGATAAATTAAATTTTGTAAACCCGTGTAATGTAACTTGAAATAGAGAAATAACATTTGCTTTCACAGTAATATAAATTAAAAAATATTTCTATCTTTTCTGTATAGTATTTCCAGAATTAAATTAAATTTGATATGCTATTAAAAAGGTATAAAATATGCCTAGATATTCAAACCTGGTTCAGAATAAATTTCCACACAGCGTTAGATAACGTTGAATCGCAGAAGAAGTGACTTGCATTTCCTTAACACGCCTTCACTATCACAGGATTGTAAGGTAAACAATGAAACACAAGAATAGAGTAGATAAGATGGAATGCAACAGAATGCTCTTCTAAGTCTTTGGGTTGAATGATTCATTTGCTTTCAACTACGAGAATTTTCAGACTAAAAACGAAAGGAAATTTGCTGAAGCTGTAACCGTTGATATTAATAAATTATTTACAATTATTTGTATATCTCTCAAACTTTTTGTACATATTTAACTGTTTTTTTTCAAGCTGCAACTTAAATCAAGATAAATGCAAATTAAATAAAAATAAATACAAATTTAAAATAAAATTTTAAATACATTCGAGAATCTATTATATTTAACTTTAAGTATAATTACTTACTCTACGGAAGGATCATTATTATTGTAAAACATATATTTCGATGAATTTTTAGTTAATGTTAATTAAATATTTGTACAATACTAATTACATATTATACGTGCTTTATTACTAACTTATTAGTTTCTTAAATGCACATAAATACTGTCATCGTTTGATTATACTCGTACCGTATTGCAGGAAGTAATAACAGATCCGTCCTTTAATAAAGCAAATTCATAAGTTAAGAAATCCGAGGAGCTCAGTCAATGAATATTAAATGAAGTGATTGTCACATTATTCACGATAATTCACAATGCAATAACACTATATTACCTAATCACTTCTCACTAACCTATTCTTAAATCTATATAAGAAAAACGCCGAGAATCTAAGGAATCGAGGTGATTCACAACACCATTAGATGACACATCGGCGAAGAAAGACGTAGCTAACATATAGATTGCGCAGAATTTAATTAGGTTGTTAGAAGTAAACAGTATTGCATTAAAAAGGAATTACAATAAAACAATATTGATGTGCGTATAGGTCACCTACCTGTTGACTAGCTTTTCATAGATATGATAAGAATTGAAAGCACTGTAGAAACGATCTGAAACACACTGGCATCTTACTGCTGGTTCAGCTGTTTTATAACCTCGGTAAATGTGTGTGAAACAACTGGATACTGATTCATAACGGTAGTCTGCACTCACACTGTGTGTATACTTCGCCCATTAAACTCCATGACTTGTAAAATAGAAACAATTTGGCTTTGCTTTGGCTGAATTTTTTACAACTTAATTTAATAACGTGTAGTATAATTGATATGATAAAAGTAATAGTGGATATGATAGGATTAAAATAAATGAAATGGAAACTTGTAAAGTATGTATATTTATAAATATACTATAGATACGATTAAAATTTCAACGAGAAAAATAATTGTGATTATTTGTATGGAAGTAAGATTCATTGTTATGCAGCGGTGTCATTGATTTTTTCAAAATTATATTTTTTTGTCATTGAATATACGAAGTTACGGATCTTTTATTTTTATCATTTGAAGAACAGTTTCATTTCTAAAGGAAAGTAGCTTGTACTTTGTATACTATACTCTCCTGTCGACTTTTAAGAAATTTTGTTATATATCACTAATCTTGTTAGTATTATAAGAGAAACGCAAACTGTGCTAACTTTAGTTTCGCAAAGCTTTAAAAAATCTCGTTGACACCGAAAGATAAGAAATGCTATAAGCGGGATATCAACGTTATGTATTGTTATAATTAATTTGTGTTATACTATGAATCTGGAAAATAATACATATGTCCTTATATCAAATATTTGTTTATTTCTACGATGCTTCTTATATCCGATAGAGAAATAATTGTAGGTTACTTATTTTTATTACACCCATTAGTTTTATCTCTATTTTTATTTTCCCATTAATTAATTAATTAGTTTTTACAATCCCTTCTGCATGTAATAATGTCTTCAAAATGTCATTATTCTTTTTTACTTTTGTCAATACCTCCGTAATAATTTTCGTTATAAATTTTATATAATTCTAAGTCAAATTTATCTTTCAATTACTTCTACTTGTAGTTTGTACCTCCGGTTTTTCAATGATCTGTCTGTACATAACAGATAAAATCTACATTGATCTTTTCATCAGTGCATATTAGTGATTAGACTAAACTGATAGGATATGACATGCGAAAATTCCATTATATATAACATTCTTTATAGTCATTTCTATTCAATTTTGTTTAATAAGTGTAGATACAATTTTTTAGCCAATTCAATTATTTTATACGATATATCTAAGGATTTGAACTCGACATAAAGTTGTCGTATATTTAAAACTAACATGAATTCAGATAAATACATCCGAAAGCATCTTTCTTGTAAGGAAGGCAAAATTCTTTTTGATTTAAGAACAACGAAGAAACACTTGTAATTTTACTGATACATTATTTGATTAACACCGCCTATTTTCTCCCAAAAAGGGGCCTGAATTATTCAGATAAAATTATTCAAAGTCTCAAAATTGAGGTTTCATTATTAAATACTATAATGAATCCTCATTTTTTATACATGATAAATATACACTGTTCCACGAAATTTACTAATCACTATATTGTATTCGAACGATTGCCAATCTCTGTACTCTTATAACGTTGTAATAGGTAAAGTATCGCACAACATTTTGTCTAGGTTTATTATAAAGTGGAAGCTTCTATTTTCGTTGCTCATTACAAAGTGTGAAGCTGCGATTTTTCCTACAGTGTGTTTTCATTTCTAAAATTGTACTCTTGACTCTCAAAGTGTCAAAGGGTTAAAGGGTTAAAATATGACGTTTTTGCCAAATTTTTGCCAAATTTTTAAATATATACGTTGTTAGTCGTTGTTATGGAGAATGTCCTTTATCATTATTGGAAGTTGAAAGAAAAAGGTAAAATGACAAAAATATTCATATTTATATTCGAAATTGTATCAATAAATGTAATGTCTTCGTTCCTAAATTGCTAAAGAGATATTATACACATCGATAATTTTATTACATTACATATTCTCCATTGATTTGATATTTATCACCTGGTAAGTAGATACTTATTCATAAACAAGAAAAGAAAAATTCTTCGTGCAAGACTTCATTGAGTCTCTGAATTGTTGCTAGCGGAAAGGGTTAAAATTGCTGTCATTTAAACGTCAATTTCAATCCGCTTAACAGCTTAAGATCGTCTGTCAGCCAACAGTTTTAACTTCTTGCCTCTATTATGTGTTTTCACGAGAATCCTTTATTTATCGTATAAATAAAATGTATCTTCTCACAAACAAAACTACATTTTGTAAAATCCTAATATTCTAATATATAGTATTATATTATTTAGATATAATTATTCTGATATTTATTCTAAATAGGTGCATATAAATTATAATGCAGTAAAACGCACATCATAAAATAAAAGCCGTAAACTAAACACCAATGTAAAAACGGTAAAAGGGAGTAAATAAAAACGAAAGTCATCGTTACTTTAAGAATATCAAACAATAATCTTCTGATAAATTTCAGTAGTATGATTGGAAAGAATTAAAGTGGACTGACATTTGTGATACGGAACTTCGTGAATATCAGGATGACTATACCATCTAAGACTGATACTGACAATTAACAGGAATTCTACTCAGATAACAGTTTATTTTTCCGCATATTTCATATAAGTTTTTCTTTTAACCGATGTATTGATCCCAAACTTTTAACCGACAGTGTAGGTAAGTACTTATATAAATACCTACTTACTTTTCCGGCGGTCAATTCATCTCGGAGACCACCCCTAGACCAACCCTTTGCCCCATGATTTCTTTCAAATTTCACTCAACAGAAGTATTTTATTATTCATAATTCATTACAAAAAGAAAAAAATTCTACACTTACTCTATGTCTACGTTTACTAAGGAGCATTACAATTAATAATAGAAAAATAATATTCAATTCAGACTTGGAAGAATTAAGTCATATTTATGTTTGTTAAATTTTATTTGCAATCTTCACCATGAGTCTGACACGATATTGCAGGGCAAGAGGTTAAGGGATGGACTATAGCAGTTCCGAATATTGTAACAAGTCTTATCAATTTTCCAATAACATAGTTATTATTCAAGGGAGGAAAGCTTAAGAAAAACATTAAGAAACAGTCTACTAAGTTTCGATGATTTGAAACGAAATATTATTCTCTTAACCTAATATACACATTGCTGTCCTTTAGGTGAAGCTGTTCACGTGTATTCTGTCTATAAGAATAGATATATAATGTATAATATATAAGATATACGATATAAGATATAAGATATAAGATATAAGATATAAGATATAAGATATAAGATATAAGATATAAGATAAAAGATATAAGATATAAGATATAAGATATAGGATATAGGATATAAGAATATATAAGAAAAAATATTTTATAAGATATAAGATATAAGATATAAGATATAGGGTATAAGATATATAAGTAAGATTTAGTTAGTTTTGAGAAATTATGAAAGGCTCAACTTTCCGAATATGACGTTGAGTGTTTCTGGTCCTCCAGAGCTGGGCAATCGATATTACTCTGGACATGGTGTTATAAATTCAAAATAATAACGAGCTAATGCTTGCGACTTACTAAATAATTTTAATTACTGTGATAACTGTTACTTGTTAAATATGGTGTTAATTTTCTATGAAAATTTTACAAATCCCAAAGTATATACGGAATTTTCAATAATTTATTAAAAAACTTCACGGTTTTACTTAGCGATTTTTTGATTAAAATTAACATTTAACACGTTGAATGACAGGGGGGTCACCAGTGACCCCCAACCAAAACGAATTACTATAGTTCATTCTGTTAAACGACTATTATTTGAGGACATTTCTATATTATAAATAATTTCACCTAATGTAGCGACATTCACCAAGATGAACGAACAATAATAATAATAATGCAATTCAATCAAATGATTTAATATTATATTTTCCCATTTTATGTATGTTGTTCTATGAACTCGTGTGGCATTCAACGTGTTAAATTGTTATTGCATTAGGCTGTTCGTTTCATATTTATGCAATGCAATTTCTGTACCATTTAAACGATAATTTCGGTCTATTCAACGATTATAAATTTTTACCCAGACGAAAGGAGTTACGATGACGAAAAACAAAATCGCTTTCATTTATTGTTCGTTACATCGAGTGTTTACGAAAGACGTATTTATTTTTTTCTAAAAGGTTATAATTAGAGAAAGGGGAACAGGGGGTACAACGTGATCATACGTGTGCTTCCATTTGTAAAAACATACGAGCGTAACGCTGAACTGTTGCGACCACTAGATGTCCTAGTCGAAAGTGATTTTATCGCTAGTGAATTTTTTACACTGAAATCTTATAAATTCGTTTAGAATTTGAGTAAAGCATCGCTTCTGGGCTCCATTGAGCTATGATCAAAGTGTAGTCATGCGATGACTGTTGTAAGCAACGCATAATGTACTTGCTTACTTGGATTTTATTTACTTACTTTGTCTCCACACTATTGTACATACTATTTATTTGATCTATTTTTATTCTGTTTTGTATTCTTTTTTATTTATTTTTCTTTTCTATTATGTTGTTGCTTATTTGTAAGTTATTTGCTAACCAAAATTATATTTAATTATATCATGTTAATCGTAGCTGAATAGCGAACGTATACTATAATTTTAGAATTAACCACCCTCGCCATTAAGGCGCAATAATGTAACTACTCTCGCCCGAACTTTGTAAGGCTGGGGGAACATACTTTGTATACACAAAATTGTCTATTCTACTTCAAGTGAAAATTTTATTTGAAGATAATACAATGATAATAGCAAAATAGTTGTTTGCTTTGATCCGTGTGTAATGAGTAACATCGATTGTTGTTAAATTAGTTTAGAAATCTTCATCACGAGTCTTACTCGTTATTGTACGGCAAGGGGTTAATGAATACCAGCTCTATTAGCATCAGCTGGACCGACTCGCCTTGATCGCAAAACGATTTCCCGTATTCGGACTCTGCGATTGAACTAGTCGAATCACAATCGGGCGCGGGTGCCGCGACAGAGTGTAGTTTCAAGTTCAGCGCGGGACTTCACCACTGGCTCCTCCACCAGAGACGACGGCTGGACAGCGACTGCTCCGTCGGGAAGGCAAGACCAGAAGCCCTCCGACATCTACGGGCGATACCCCGAGGTACGGCACTTTGCGTGTTTACACCAATCATTCTCTCTCCCTCTCTCTCTCTCTCTCTCTCTCCCGAAAGTGACGAGAACGCGGTCAGGTTCCACCGGCTGCGCGACTCTACTCATTGGCGGAAATCACTCCCCACCCTACGCGCGTACACCTCCACCATCCTTCATTATCACGAATTTATAATACTTATACAAAATTCAATTAACTGTTAATATCTCGCACGCGTTAAAGATAGGACTAAAGTAGGATCACAAATGTAAGAATCAGAATTGTGACTGGCAAATCATTCACGATGTATCATCTACGGTACAATTTACGTTTCTTCAGTTTTTAATAATAAAGTTGCATATAAACACAAAATAAGCAATAATTTGATTCTGCCTTTTCGCTTCATTTTGTCACACTTTTCTCTATTTAAGTACTTACTTCAAGATGTGTATTTATTATGCTCGAAATGTACACTTAACACTAAAACTCCCGAACAGTTACAATGACTTATTTCCAATTTTTTATAAAAATTAGGACAATACTTTTCTTAAGACTCAAAGGGTCTCTTAGTCTTACATATGTGCAAATACATCAATTTAATTAAAAATCATTCGCAAAAACGCCTTTATGATTTGAGTATTTGCAAAATAAATATACTGAAGTGGGGACCGGTGGTTGTAAAGTGTAAATTGTTAGGAAATTATTAACTCTCAATTTTGCTAATTTTCAGAGTTATTGGATGGTTTGGAGTCAGCAAGAAGGCACGTTCATTAATTTGATACGGAATTACAGTAGCTTTGCAAACATCCACTTTATGATTACGAAGTATCTTTATGAGTCCAATTTTCGTTTGGAAGATCGCGAACCGTGCACCTGAAACAAAACGTACAATTCCTTATATTACTCGATAATAAATTATAAAATTGATGCATTACGTTTGCAACAGTGACACAAATTTCTATTGTTACTTTATGTTTCAAGTTCTAAACAACCACAGATATTTAATTTCGTTTGTTTTTCGTAAACAACAGTTTAAAGATGAGTAATACAATATTGTAAAAAGCACACAACTCAGTTTCAATAATTATTTTGTAAAAAATATTTTAAAAAATTGTTTAATCGAATATTTTATAAACTTAATAGACTTGTTTACGTCACATTCGAATAGTTATCAGAAACAGTCCTTTCTTACCAATACAATTCCTTGGGCCATCTCCGAAAGGTAAATAGTGCATTGGATGTCTTTTTGATTCTTCCTCTTCTTTAAATCGATCGATATTAAACACTTCAGGATTTGGATAAATATCTGGATCGTGGAGCATTCCATACATGGGTATTAACACGGTTGTACCTTTGGGTATCCAAACTTTCAGGTCTTCGAAAGTGTAATCTGCCACTGATTGCCGTATTAAAACTGTTACTGGTGAGTACATTCTCATTGTTTCTATAAAAATAAATGAAAACATTGTTCTTTAAAGAAACCCTATCTATGTCGAAAACATTTCTATTTTACTTATTGAAAATAACATTTATTTTATTGAAGATACAAATATTTTCAATCAGTTTGAGATACATACCTTTAAATACACTATCTAAGACTGGCATTGCTTTTATATTTTCATAATGCCATTCTCCATTGTTCATCTTCTCATGCTCTTTAATTTCTTCTCGCAATTTATCCTGAATATCCTGATGCTGGGCTAATTCGTAAAGTGCATTACTAATTGTGGTCGATGAAGTTTCGAAGCCAGCTATAAAGAAGACGAACGCTTGTGCCGCGAGCAAGGAGTCCGTAATTTCTGGGAAAATACAATGAATGTTTTACATGTACTTCTTGGATACACATTTTTTTAAATAATACGACCACAGGTTCTCGAATGGTTTTAGTTTAGTGCTTTCTACATAGTTAAAACGATAACCACGAAGCTGTGGATACTGTTTTAACACTTAGCCAACAGAATGGTGAGGTTTCCAACTTTTCACTTAGCAACGTATTGCCTTTTATTTCGTGTATCTTTTCTTTTCTTATTTAGCAAGCCTTCAACTGGGGTTATTTGTGATTCATCAAATACTTGATTTTATAAAATAAAGGTTTTAACCACGTCAGTTGAAACAGTCCGATTAAAGATAATAAAAAAGGTTATATTTATGTAGTATATAGTGTTACATAGCTCAAATGTTGAAAGATGGAAGAAATGCAAATTTAGTTATTCAAATATGTACATGTTTCATATGTTAGGTAGATCTCAAATTGAAGTTAATAAAAATAAATAAATCTCAATTTTCTTGACTTCAAATGAAATACTGTATTTTTATCATCAACTATTATACTTTAAAGTAAACGTGGATATAAAGAAAGATGTAGTTCTCCGTTATTTCCAGTAAATTATTAATGATGAAGTAATTCTCGGTGGTGCAATTATGAAATAAATCGTAGATTAAGGGGTTAATACCGAGATCAGGTATGTAGTGAACACTGGATAATTGCAGTACACAACGGGACCGGAAGATTGCAGTATTAAGAGGCAGAGTCGAAGATTTTAGCACAGCTAACGTAGAAAAGGACAACGCGAGTGAAGGAGAAACAAAGACTGAGAGTCAGAGTGTTGACAACATTAAAGGCTTGCGACGAGCTGCAGACTTTTAACTCAAAAATCAAACTTTGTTATTTTTTATTTTTGATTAATGCAACTTTCACCAGCACGTTTGTCATGTTGTTATAATTAAAATGACACCAAACACAATAAAATTACGATAATAATTGCTTTATAATAAGCAATTGAAGTTTCGGATATAAAAAAGGACTGCGAATAGAAAAGATAGAGAGCAGGTTTCAACGTGTATGGGGGCCTTTAGATACGTCTGGTATAGAACATTGCATACATACTGATGTCGCCCAATTTTTCCGGATGTGCTTGGATGTCTATCAGCGTATCGATGAAATCTTTCCGGACAACATTATTCTTCTTTCTATACTCCATCATTTCCGAAACAGACTTCATAAAGAACGTCATGTAATCGGGCCGCGGTAATACGTAACCGAGTAAAGTGTAGAACCACGGTGTCAAATCTCTCAGTTTGAATCTTAGTATGTGTCCGATCGTGGTAGAGAAGAATTTCTTTCCTACTCTACGAAATTCAGATTCCTCTTCGGACATTGAATTCATGTTGATTCCGAACGCACAGCTGCCAATGACATCGGTAGTGAATCTTGCTGCCAATTCTCGACAATCAATTTCATTGCCATTTGCCAACAATTTGTCCATATATTTCTCAAGACCGTTGGAACATTCAAGGATCAAAGAGAACATTTCTTTAAGCTTGCCACTTGTGAATACTGGCGAAAGCCTAGTTCTTAACGGTCGCCATCTTTTTGTCTCCAGAGAGAACAAGTGTTGCGAAAGTGGTTCTGCCTGTATTAATAGAACAATATAATTAATGCGATTTTTAAAGTAGTTATTGGTTTTAAGCTTTCTAAGTTTATCTCATTTTGGAAAGAAGAATTAGTAATAATTAATTTCCAGTATGTGTATTTGAATATTTAACACTAGAACTACCGAGTAGGTAAGCAGACTATTCATAATTTTCTTATACAAATTTCAAGAGTCTATTTATTGAAATTTCGATTTACGTATATTTTAGTTTATGCATTACTGAAGCAATTTATGTCATAATCCCTCAAAAAATCATTTGTGTCTTATCAATAATTCTAGAATAAAAATCCGAAATAGGTCATTTTGACTCGTCTAGTGGTTTCAGTGTTAAAAACAGATGTATAAGTTGTTAACTGAAAATCGATTTGTATAACAATGGAACTATTTATAGAATATTTACTTATTTTAAAAATTAGTTTTGTACTAGAGAAACTATACTATACAAATTGAACCTTTTTAAACCTGGCTTCGAGTGAATAATGCATTATTTATTTCAAGCAGTTTTTTTGGGTAAATCTGACGTTAAATTTCGTAAGGTCCAATTAAAAAACATTTAATTTGAAAATTGTGTATAATTTCTTATATTTTTTCTGTTTGTCCATTTATTCCATTATTAAGTAAATAAATGTAATTACGTAATCGCAGATGGATGTACATGCATTACTTTTGTAAAATGTAATGTAAAATTCTATTGTTAAAGATCCTTAAAAGTATACTTTTTGAAATAGGTATTAAATATATTTATACACTCACCACTTCATTAATACCAACTGCACGATTAGAAAATTTCGTAAAATCTTTGATCAGCACTGTCTTGATTAGATCAGGATCATTTATGATTAGGGCAGGTTGTCTATTCTCATATATACCAATCAAGGGTTCACCTTTATATTTCTTGTAAATGGCTGCCGCGTAAGAACCTAACGATTTCTGCGAGAATAATACTTGCTTAGTCGTACCAAAAACTAGTTCTGGTTCAGGCCCAGGAACTCCTTGTTTCTTCCAGAAGTTGTAATGTGCTACTAAATAGTAGTAAAACAGAAGGACTACCGCGACAATACCACAGATTACTTCAATGCCAACCATTTTTTATTCAGTTTATATCAACTTTCCAATAAATAAAAGTCGATTATCGATTAACTGCAAAATACAGAAAGAAGGATCGTTAATAACGCTCCTGCTTTTACTTTATAATTACTAGAAATTCATTAGATTTTTCATGAAAATTATAAGAGTTACAGGTTTTTGTAATTTATTATTTTCATTTTAAAATTAAGTGGGTATTTTATGGGTAATAGATACTTTTGATATCTAAACAACCGAAAAATGGTCATTTTCTACCATCCACATTTCGAAAAACAATATCAAGGAAACAGGAATACATTTTTCAGTCCCTACTATGATTTGAGTATTTATGCTACACAAAATATTACGCATGCACAACTAAATACGTATTAAAATGTGCATAGATATTGAAATTACGTACGAAATAAATTTTTTAACTAGAAGCATTAATTCTTTTAACACTCCACTATTGTATTATCAGAGTACTGCAAGATAAATATTAGATATAACACCACAGTATGGAAGATAATGCAACATAAAACGTGATCGAAGGTTGTTACGATGAATGAGCAGTTTCCTTCAATTCCGTTAATCTTCGTATTGATCAGAATGGAAATTTACTAAAACTACAACCGTTCGTGTTAATAAATTATTACTACTGCCCTGTACTAGCATAGATCTTATTCCATAAACTTTTTCATACATCTTCAACTGTTTTGTTCAAGGTGCAATTTAAATAAAAATAAGATTTTAAATAAATTGCAGAAAATTAAATCAAAAAGAAGGAAATTTATTTGAACCTTTTAAGTACCAATGGAAATTGGCATTCACTTATGGAAAATGCCATATGATTTTAAGTAAAGATCATTATTATTGACAAACATGTATATTTCGATGAATTTTTAGTTAAAGTTAATTAAATGTTTATGGAATATTAATTACATACTGGACGTCTTTAGTTTTTTAAATGTGCATAAACACTGTTATCGTTTGATTATACTTGTATGAACTTACTGGAAGTAGTAACAATTCCTTCTTTGATCAACTAAATGCACATGTTAACAAATCCGAGAAGCACAGTCCATGAATATTAACATGTCCCCTACCAACATTTATTTCGGTGACAGTCTCCTCAATTATATTGTAATATTTTCTTCAATCTAATAAATCTCCTGAACAAAATATTAGAAAAATGAAACTGAAACGCGTCCTTGAGTTCCTAAATATAATGTTGTAGCTTATAATCACAGCTGTCACTAATATGCGACGCTGATAACGAACGCCTTTAACGAAACGATTCTGACATTATTCACACTGGTTCAGAATTCATTAAAACTATGCTACCTGACCTTTCTTCACACACCTATTCTTAAACCTGTACAAGAAAAACGCGGATAAACTAAGAAAACGAAGGCACTCGTAAAGAACTTAACACTAGAACTACCGTTCCATTCAAAATGACTGGTTTCAATTTGTTTGTTTTGCAATTATTGATATCTTAAAAGCATCAAATATTCGAAATGATCTTGAAAATAAATAGTTTCACTTGAATATTATAATGAATGTCTGTCGAAACTGAAAATAATCTCATGATATCATAATAATCTTAAATGCTCGGTAGTTCTAGTGTTCATTAGATTAGTAGAAGTAAATGTACGTGAATGATGCCTACCTGACAACTAGCTCTTCGTAGCTAGAATGAGAAACGTAAAGCACGTGAAAACAATTTGAAATAGACTGATGTCACACCACTAGCGGGGTTATCTTATAAACTCGGTGAATACGCTTAACACTATTCCTACGGACACTCCACGTATACCTATTCCTATCGCGACCAATCAAATGACTGCTCTTTAGCACAACTTATATTTTTTAATATATAATGAAGATAATAGCCAATTTTACAGTATACAAATATAGTTTCTTTTATTTAGAAATATATAATTTACATTTTATTCGTTTTCACCACATTTTTTACAAATAGGTTTGTCGATTGTACATTTCCCACACACGTACTTTTTACATTTTACACAGATTTTGTTGGTCTTATTGTTTGTGCAATATTTTATTTGGCATGGTTTCCGTTCGCGTGAACCTGTACTTGTATTTTTGACGGGTGTTGCTTGATTTTCTTTGTCTAACTCTAGTTCTTTTTGATATTCAATGGCAAGTTCTTCTGCCATTTATCCCAGCTAAATCTAAAATATTGAAATACCTGTAAAAATACCTGTATCTAAAATACCTGTAAAGGCCATCTCCGACATTTAGATTTTACCGATTCTACCAAGGCCGATAGGCGAGCGAGAACTGTAAACACTTGGAAGTACCGTAAAGCAGTCCCTGAAAGGCACTTGTTGGCTAAAATCATGCCACAACTGCATTACCTTTCGTTTGTAACGACTTTATAGTATCGGAATTGAGTCTTTGAGAGAATACTATTACAAAAAGATATAAATCATTCTACCGGTCAAATGACCGGTCGTGATAGGTAAGACAGACTACAAATTTTTCTCAGAAAATAAACAATAGAAACAGGTGTGAATATTGAAAAATAATTTATACATATATTTTAGGAAAAGTCGTGAAGTATAAAGGCGATTCAATTACGTTGTCTATAGGAAATTCTAATCGAAATTGTAAAAACAGTCATTTGACTGCTCGCGGTAGGAATAATGTTAAGGAAGTGTGAATACTTGAAATCTAGGCATACTTCGACCGATAAATGACATGACTAATCAAATAAATGCATTTTGTTAAGAAAATAATAGTATTATGTTAGTTATGTTATTTATTTTGTTGGACGCATGAAATATAAGTGTTTTTTCTGACAGTCAATTTATTAAAGTGACCAGCAAATCTGTATGAGTTTATTTTTCATGTGTGGTGAAATATTTGTCTTCAGTTTGCTGAAAATGAACAAAATGAAAATTTGTATATATACTGAGTTGGCAAGAAAGTAATTTCGGTTTGCACAAATAGATAACGTTATGTTTGTTTTGTTATGCTTCTGTCAATGTTATAATTTTTTTCTTTTGAGATTTGATAGTTGATACTTTTAGATTACTATAGAAACAAATTCCGAGTGATTTTGTTTACAACTGTTAGTATACGGTCAATTTTAACATGGAGTGCAAAAATAGACATTTTCGACATATTTTACGTTTTTATTTTCATAAGAAAGCGGCTAAAGCGGCTAAAGCGGCAAGTTCTAGGCAAGAAAGCGGCTAAAGTTCACAAAAAGATATGTGAAATTTATGGTGTTGATTACTTAATAGAACGCACGTGTCAGAATTGGTTTAAAAAATTTCGGTCTAGACATTTTTCACTTAAAGGTGACCAGCGTTCTAGTCGACCTTCTGAAGCTGATGATGACAAAATGAAAGCCATAATTGAATTTAATCGTCATATCACTGTGCGAGAGATTGCAAAGAGGTTAAATATATCACACATAACAATTGAAAATCACATAAAATATCTTGGATTCGTTAAGAAGCTCGATATTTGGGGTCCGCATGAATTGAAAGAAATTCATTTAACACAACGAACCAATATTTGCGATATGCATTTCAAACGTAATGCAATCGACCCTATTTTGAAACGAATTGTCACTGGTGATGAAAAATGGACCGTTTACAACAACAATAAGAATAATAATAATAAGTTTACAAAACTTTTTAAATGGTAAAAATTTCAATAATCAAAATGAGCTCAAATCGCACTTGGTTGAATTGTTTACTGATAAGGATCAGAAGCTCTATGAGCGCGGAATCATGAAGTTATCAGAAAGATGGCAAAAGGTCATCGATCAGAATGGAACATATTTGTATACAAAAAATGAAATCTCATTTTAATAAGATATTAAAATTTCTACCAGAAAAATTATTCTGATATATTATAATTATGAACATGGAAGTAATATTAAGTGCGCCGTAATGGCGTCACTGATTTTCTTGAACTTATATTTATTTTTTGTTATTGATTATATGAAGCTAAGAATTTTTGTATTTATCATTTGAGTAATGTTTTCATTCAGGAAAGAGCATGATGAAAACTTTCACACACTGAACATTTCGTTATAGATATGTCACTCATATTGTTAATGTTACATGAAAGACACAGACTATGTGTACTTTAGTAAACTTTCATGACATACGAAGATAAGACGTCTTATAAGATGAATGCAGTTTTAATGAATTGTTAGAATTCATTTGCGTCGTACAGGAACCTGGAAAGTATGCTCTTACGATTATATTTCTGTTACTTCTATTATGATTTTTATATCTGATAAATAATTATAAAGTACTTATTTTTGTTATATCTATTAGTTTTATCTTTACCTTTTTTATTTTTTCATGATTTATGATTTATCATGTTCTTCTGAGATGGTCTTTCTGAGATGTCATTGTTTACTGCGAATGTGCTTACGCATCTATTTCGTTTATTTGAGTAATAAATATAATTTCATTCATGTTTAATGCTACATATCTCTTTATTTATACGAAAAATAAATAAATAATATTTAGGTTTGTTGAATTCAGTTGAAAATTTTCATTGCAAATCTTACACGATATTATGAAAGGAGTTAAGTCAATGTTCGGCCGTGAACTCAGGGCGGGGACTTTGGGTTCGTGATTACGCGGTCACTAAAATGACAGCGGTGCAGGGCGCGACCTCCCCGCACTGCTGATAAGCAAGGAAAAAAATTATGTCTTATAAGTATATGAAATAAAATAATAAAAATTATATATCTTTATATTTAACTAATACACGTATGTTTATATTTCTTTATTATACACAAAAATTCTTCAATGAATGTTGTTTACAAAATGAAATTGATTCATCTAACCGATGTATTGGTCCCAAACTTTTGACCGACAGTGTACGTAAGTACTTAACCCTTTAGTCTATAATGTCGTGTCAGACTCGTGGTGAAGCTTTCGAATAGTATTCGGCAAATACAAATGTCACTTAATTCTTCCAAGTCTGAATTAAATATTATTTTTTTACTTTTAATAGTTATGTTTCCGGGTAAATGTAAATATAGAATGAATATAGAATTTTTCTCTTTTTCTACTGAATTATGAACAAAAACAAGTCTCTGCTGAGCGGAATTGGTAAAGAAATCATAGGGCAATGGTAACTTACTTTTCCGCCGATTAATTCACCTCAGAGACCATCGTCAGGAAAGCGCTTTGAGGAATGAACTGTGACTGTTCCGAATTTTGTAGCAAGTCTTATTAGTTTTTTAACAACATAATCATTATTCGAATAGGGAAAGCTTAATACGTTTGCGACCAATGTCATATATTTGTGATGCTCAACATTTTGTATCTTGCGTGAAGGATATTAAATTACTTTCACGTGCGCTTGTATTTAAAATCGTAAGGCTTAGTGTAAAGTGTAGGAAGCCGATACGAATTTTTCTTTAAACTTTATTTACATTTTATCAAGACGATTTGTTGCATTTTATAAAATATTGTAACTATGAAGACTGCTACTGAAACAAACGCTGGTTGCGAACGTGTTAAGGGAAAAAACATTAAAAAACAGTCTACTAAGTTTTGATGATCCGCAACGAAATATTATTCTCGCAACTTAATATTCACATTACTATCATTTAGGTGAAGTTGAAAAAATATTCGTGCACCCCAAATCGCATGATTTTCTTACGAATTTTTAATACCCAAACGTTGAGTGTTTAGTAGACACCATCTACAAGTGACTTGTGAATTTGTCTCGTGAGCGAGAGTGATTGCAACGATGTCAATGATTCGAAAGATATTCGCAGATTGATTTTTTGGTCATCTAATCGAAGAACTTAGTTTTCCAAAGTTCCTCTAAAGGAACAGGAATTTCCTGGGAATTATTTTTCACGTGAAACAATAAAGCTTTGACAAATTTAAACATTATTACTGAAAAGAATTAAATGTGGAACAGTTTCTGTGATATGAAACTTCTTGAATGTAAAGATGACTGTGCATTTTCACATAGATTATGAGTATTATGAGTTGCACTGTGATAACAGGCTATCTTTCCAAGTATTCCAAGTGAAAACCTTAGAAGAAGAAAATTGTTGCAATACTCATTATCTTTATGTCAAGTATGCAGTCATAGGCAGATAGACAATATTTCTATTTTTAGTGGATGATAGAGAAAGTTATTTAACTTGTGTACTTTTTAGTGTGTTCACTATTCCGGTATATAATTAAAATAATCGAAAAATCGCCGACTTTTCGAGTTCGAAAGCGAGAAAAACTGTTAGGCGGTATTCATGAAGTACACACTTTACAGATTAATGATTAAAAGTTTCATGGAAAATAATTTTTACGATTTCTACGAGAAAAAATTTCTGGTTTTTCGAGGTATAAAAATAAATTGTTCGAAAAACGATAAGAACTTCGCCGATTGTATTATGCAATTAAATTTTATACATTTTCATATTGTATTGTAACATGTTGTTATATGTAACATACCGTTTTTCATATTGTATTCTACTTTGAAATTATGAATTATATTTAATATTCTGATAAATGTCTATATGAAGTAATGGGTATATAGAAAAATGTAATATTTGGATAATATGATTAAAAAGTAATGTTCTTCATTAATTTATTCTTATTCACTTATCTACTGTCGATAATGGTGAGAATGATATGACAATGATAATGGAGTTCTAAAATCTCAAAAAATTAGGATACAAAAACATATATATCAAATGCTGGCTATGTCTGTATCTCGTCGGCAACAGTTCAGCTACGGAACAGTATTTTTTTGATTAAATTTTCACTGTCATTGTTATACAAAACGAGTGCACTTTGAAATTAAGTCTTACGCAATTGCATTTGCACGTACATATCAAGAAACCAATTAACACCTAACTTCTTAGTGATTAAATTGCCGACCGCTTTTAGATGTTTTCAATTGTATACTTGTCATGTTTTTGTATTGCGTCTTTAAAATTTTCTAGTTATCGCAACAATATTTCTGTTTTTTGTAATCAAATATTTAATTTCAACAAATTTATATTTTTTGTATTACGTGCGTAGTAAAAAAATTGGTATACCTTTTTAAACATATACAAATTAGGTTATAGGTTATCTGCCTGTTGATTAAACTCTTCATGTTCTTGTTCGATTTCTTTTGATTTAATATTTTATACTAAGAGACGACGTTTGTATAAATCGTCACTTATTTATTCCGATTTTCGCAGGTAATATAGTAATTTAAGAAATATTTTAATTTTCATAATAGATTTCAAATAGTTGTCCTAACAATGTAATTTATGTCAAAAAGTATAATTCACGTATTAGGAGAGACTAAGATTATAATTATAATACTATTAGTGGTATCTATATTCCTTAAGACAAAGCTGTTAGATCAAGAAATGGCTCTCGCAATTTTACATTTTGCCTACAGGAATTCAGTGAAACTATTCTCTACCGCAACCATGACTACATCAGTATCAATGGATGAGCGTATGTTAAAAGGAATAAGAAGAATAGTTCCAAATTTGAATAATGTTAAATATAAAGGACAAGATGGCAGAATTGGCATATTTGGTGGTAGTTTAGAATATACTGGTGCACCATATTTTGCAGCTATGAGTGCTCTTCGCACTGGATGCGATTTAGTACACATATTTTGTGTAAAAGATGCAAGCATTCCTTTAAAGTCATTTAGCCCAGAGCCTATTGTTCATCCAGTTTTAGATCAATATGATGCAATTAAACAAATAAGACCATGGCTTGATCGTTTACATGTAATTATTATTGGTCCGGGTCTTGGTAGAGATGACAAAATATTTAAAACGATTGTTGAACTTATCTCAATTTGTCGTGATATGAAAAAACCATTGGTAATTGATGCTGATGGATTATTCTTAGTTAGCCAAAAGCCTGATATCATAAAAGAATATCCAGGTGTTATATTGACTCCGAATGCTATGGAATTCAGTCGTCTAATGAAAGGAGTGCTTGACAAATCAGTTAAACCTACACCATTAGTTAAAGCTACTGATGTGAAATATTTGGCGGAAGCACTTGGGAAAAATGTTACAATTTTACATAAAGGATCTAAAGATGTGATTGTAGATGGGCATAAAGGTACAGAAGCTGTGTCATGTGGATTAGCAGGTTCTGGCCGAAGATGTGGCGGACAAGGAGATTTATTGGTCGGTGCATTATCCGTATTTTGGTGGTGGGCAATTTGTGCAGGAAGTTGCGAGAGTTCCTTATCAGCTCCGATAACTGCCAGTTATGCTGCATCTAGATTAGTAAGAGAGTGCAATTCGTCTGCGTATAAGATAAAGCAAAGAGGAACATTAACATCTGACATATTGGAGCAAATACAGCCTGTTTTTGCAAGAATCTTTGAAACCCATTGTAACAAGTGAGCTATTTAGTTACATTGATAGCTGGTTCTGGTATGTTTTTATAACAAAAATTTAAATGCTTGTATTAAACAGATTTGTAATAAAGATTTTTATATGTATCATACACAATACATAATATTTTATGTTACATATATGTAGGTATATATATGTACATGCACATAGTAGTAACATTATATAATGTTCATTATAGAACATCTTCATTCAATGGGAGAAATCGAACACGGAGCACTGATTCCTGAATTGTGCTCAGTCGCATATTTCAATGTTTTCAAGAAGCATATAATTTTATGATAATTACATTGCATAGAATTAAATTAGAACACCTTTTAATTACAACAAAATTTTTATATTAGGAACAGAAATCATAAATTCAGGAATTTAACAATATGATTAATTACAATAAATTCATTATAATTAATACAAAATTTGTATATCATTAAATGCATTACAAAATAAATAATACATTTAACAGTTGTGTGTAGATTCAATTATACTTATTGTTTTATCTTATATTTACAAATGATGAATTTGAAGTAATGTTTCAAGTGAAAAATACTATTTTTTACACATTCATGAATTACAATTTTTTTTATCATAAAATAAATTTCCATTTTAAATATAAAAATCGTGTTCTGCGCATGATGAGAAATTTCTACAATATTTTAATAATATAAATTATTCATATCTAAATAATATATTCTGCCTTCGACTCAAAACGTTTTCAAATAATTTATAATAGATCACTTTCAAAAGTTCAGTTTTTATTTCATTTTGTATAAAAACGTTATCCTTCGAAAATGAATATTGATTCTACAAATGAGGAATATTTTAAAATATGAGCCCACATTTTTTAACTTCGTATTAAAATCACAAATAACACGTTTGCGTATAAAATATATTGTATCCAAGCATCAATACTGTATTTTTCTAGTACAAGAACTTTTCAAGTACAATATCATTTAAATTAAAAAATGTTGACTTCTAAATGTTACTGGTTTTCTAAAATGGCACAGAAACATTTATTGCCTTAATTAACAAATAGAAGTAGATCAATAAAAGTCATTAAAAGTACAAATAATTCTAAGTACAATGATTCCGTTTTGTTTCTCGTATCAATTCTGCATTATACACTTAATTCAGTTACAAGATTTGTAATATCACGTATACCACGTGACTAACGAAGTTAACAGATTACAAATTAATCTTAATATATTCCTAAGAAGTTTACGATGTTTCTATACTATTTCTAATATTCACGCATAATATAAAAGTCGTTTATTAATAATGTAACTAATAGAAAATCATTTTTCACTCAAAAGTACGTGACATTTCTCAAGAAGTTTGATTTGTATATGCACTTCTTTATTTGTGTGCCCTAAAATCTTACAAATAGTAAAATTATGATATTATAATTTATAAGTGTCCCTATATTGTTGTCTTTCGTTTCTATGCTAAAATAATCTCGTTATTAAGTACCCCGGGGTTCAACATTGAGGAAAATACTGTATAAAAACGAAAACAGATTATAGCACCTATATAACTTTTGGCATGAATATACCGAATACTGTCTGTACGCATCAGAAAATGTCTTCGCATTCGCTCAGTTGTCGCGTTGTTATTTAACGTAAATTTCATTCTAGAGATTTAAATTATAATTCTCTTTTTGAATTACGTTGATGAACTACGAGTAAAACGTCAGTACTGACGTTTGATTCCCACGTATTAATATTGTTGGCGGCATATCTTTGGTTAAAGCTTCCAACCATGCCATATACAGCGGAGCGGAGACTGCACCTTTTCGTGGCATTGGTAATGACCTATTAAAACCATAGTTACATCGTTTTATGTAATTCATGTAAAAATCATGAATTTAATTCATAAAAAGACAGAAAAATAAAAATGTGTATTTTGAGTAAACATAATACTAACATTACAACCAACGTGGACTGACTGGAATTCTCTAGTAATAACTCCCGAAGTCTTAATTGCCTATGCGTCTTGTCCTTCAAAGATTGGAGTTCAAGTTCTGTCACACAACATTCTGTAATAAAATTACGATATTAATCCCTTGGTGTAATAATTGATTGAATTTATTAAATGAAATTTACCATACGAATGTTGTTTAATTTTGTTTGTGATTGAAATATTTTCGTGAAATTTCAGATAAATAATATTATAACGTTAAAATGATAATATTCTAACTGATATTGACGATTAGAATTATCGGGAAACGTAATTCAAACTACTCAAATTGGAAGAGAATGTATTTTCGTGTTTTACCTGTATCAACAGTGTCATTCTTTCGAAAATCGGATATAAGTTTGTCAAAGAAGTCTTGTGTTTCTTGCTTTGGTTGTACACTTATATCATCCACCATTTTGAGACTAGTATATCTTATCCTGAACTTTGCCATAATCTCTGCCATTCTAAACACCACAATAACAAAAAACATTTCATTAATGATCAATTTTTTTAATATTTCGAATTTCGTTACTGGAATTTATTACAACAAATAATTAACCATTTTTCCGAGCAATTACTACGCGCATACTATTGCAATTTATTGTATACAAATAAAAATTGAGATTTCAAAAATAATTTTAAAAAGATAAATAATAATAAATCTAAATAATTATAAAAAATAAGATTTAATTACAACGATTAGATTTTCTTCGGTTTTTTTTGTATTTCTAACTTACTCTTTCTCTTGCGCGACAATATCTTGTTTGTGGTTCGCCAGTGCGAAAATTCTCATCTTACAGTGTTCCCAATTCGAGCGTGTGCTGATGATATACGGCAACAGAATCGTCAGCCCTGCCGAATAAGAACTTCTGCCACTTACAAATGAGCCTATATTCTTACTCGATTGAATTGCAAACGATGGGAATGTTGAATGTAAATGACATTTATAAATAGAAATTTAAAATACAATAAATGCTTATGTGGCGGGCATTACTTTTTTCATCTTCATTAAAGAATGAAGAGTAATTATTCTGATCAATGCTCTTAGATTAAACTGTTAATATTAATAATTGCAAGTTATAAACATTTCAATCGTTTGCAGATTCACAGTGAGAATATTTATACGAATTACCTCCATCGTCGTATAACCACCACACATCAATTATTCCTTTTTTATGTTTTTTCTGGAATATTGCCAAGTGTTCAGGTACAGCTGTCATTGCGTGCCGTTTTTCCCTAAATATTTAAAAGATACAGAATGTCACACCTAATGTTACTTACATGTAAGAAATTGTATTGAATGAAGAAGGAAATGTATTTAGGTTTCGAATTTTTATGATAATATTGACGCCAATAACAATGATTAAAATTATGTTTTTAGTATGCTACAAGAATAAGAAATCTGATTCTATGAGTATATCAGAGAACATCATCTTCAAACATCAAAGAAGAATATTAGTTCTTCAATTACATAAACAAACATTCAATATGTTTTTAATTTTTTAACTAATTAACCATTGCATTGACGTTAAGTTAAATTAAATTAAAAACTTCTTAAAAAGTGGTAAGAATTGATTTACTTTATATTTGTAATTGATTTAAAAATAAAAAAATATTAGTTCTTACATTAATTTTTCGATTGCATGTTTTCTCTTATGTTTAAGATGCTCCCGAGCACTTCCGTGAGTCGGTGAATCTCTAATTATATGTGGTCCATCGACTGGCACAAATTGAGTTCCTGAAATGTACATTTATTTCCCATTGAACTTTTTCGCAATTTTGTAGCCTGTATAAATAATATATGGGAATTATTTATATCAAAATAAGAATTTAAATGCTGGATAGGTAAAGAGTCAAAAAAGTCTACATAAAATTATTATATTTATATGTATATGTATAATTACCCATTGTTGGCACACTTTGAACCCTTGGAATTTCACTGGACATTGATAAATTACTGTCTACATGCATTAAAGTGCTCCCAGTCAAGTCGTAGCTACTTTGTGCTAGGGTACCATGATCTTCATCACCATTTGCAGTTACTACTTCCGAACAATCCAAACCTTCAGCTATTCGAAGCATAGCCACAGCTAATTTTTGATCGAATGCGTTGCTATAAATAATAATGAATTTCACCTTATTTATTATATTATTACGTGCGTTTTTTCGTACAATTTGTACAATTAATTCTCAGTTTTGTTAAAATGTAATAAAATAAAATTTACAATATAAAAAAATGAAGTTCATTTTGACATATTATTTTACTTCTTCAATGGAATCGTCGGTGAAGATAACTTTTTGTTTCATTTTAATCGATTTAAATAGAAATTTATTTTAATATAATTAACTAAAAATTAATTTAATGTAATTTTAATGAAATAATGATTTCAAATTAAATTTTGAAATCAGCAGTTAAAAGTTTTGTTAACGGATAATTTATTAACGGATAAAATACTCAGTTTGAGTATTTTATAATTGTGTAAAGTAAATAAAAAAGAGAATATGTATTATTGATGATCAATTTCCAACAGAGGTGGGAATGGAGAGTTCTAATATTATCTTTGTATAAAACTTAATTTCTGATTAATTATGATTCAAACACTAATTTCTATTTTCTTACTGGAGGACGTTGAAGTATTCTTGAAGATCTTTATGGTTACAAGTTGACCAATGTGTTTTGTAACCCATTAGAACAACGTTCGGTGCTAATTTTCCAACGCCTGCTACTTGCATCAATGCTGAAGCACCTCGTTCGAAGCACAGATCCTCCACCATGTGATAAAAAGATTTTATGCGTTGTTGATGTAACCACGCGTAACCATTTCTCAATCGAACTGAACGGAGTCGGTACGATAAATTCGTCTAAAAACATGCGAATCAGTTGATATACCTAAATGAACGAGTAGTTTCAGGTAAATGTTTCCTTGGAGGAACGAGTAGTGTCAAATGTTTTCTTGGAGGAAATACTTGAGTACAAAAGATTAATCTATATATGTTCTAGGATAAAATTCTACAAATATCTTAACACTTTATAGTTCTTATGGGGAAGAAATTTCATTTTATATATGTATCAATATCATTTGTTGAAATTTCTGAAATTATCCGCGAGAAATGTAATATTTATTAATATTATCAAATACATGTATTGCAACATTGTTGTAATCTTTTTAAACATTATTGTATATTTTCAACTATTGAGAAAGACGAACTTTAATCAGTCTATCTCTATCTTTTACTACTAAATTAAGCTTTTTATCGTTTGTAGTTTCCACATAATTTCACCATTTTTAAAATCATTTTTATGTAATTTGTATTTTTCAGAAACTAACAGTTGTAGAGCAATTTGGCTTGAGAATTACTCATCTATCCAGTAGATAATATGTAAATAATATTCATTTCATACTCTTTATGTAATATTTCATTAATTCATTAAAACATAGTACAAATATCCCAGCCTTTAAAGATTTAGATTAAACATGAGTAGAAACTTCATGATTAATCATTGGCAACTATTATTTCCTAAATAATAGTTTTTATATTACTCAAAATATTTCGATCAACATTAAAAATAAGGTGAAGGCATCAGTAATTGATCTGGTATCAGTAGTTGACCATTTTTCAGGAAAACGTAAAAAAATAAAGTTTTTAAAAGTAATAATTTACTATTATTTTACGTTTACTATTATTCACGCAGAAAATTTATCCTAACTGGTCAACTACTGGTGCTTTTACCTTAGTATAAGTAAAAAACAGTATACTAATATTGCGACCTGTAATGAACCGTTACATATTTACACGTAAAGTGTAAATCATCACGAACCATACAGTTAGAAATCACGAATCTACGGACGCGTTAAGTTTCTCCTATTACTCAGGGCCACTTTTTTTAATTCTGTGGTGTAAATTGGGTATACAAATTTTTCAACAGTCTTCCGAAAATGCCTAGCGTTAAATATAGGAATCTAACGCGGATTCGTCAGAGTTGAAGGCCACATGGAAGAAAACTTGTTTAGTTATACTACATACCGGATATACTTCACCGCAAATCAACAGGGAATGGTTTTTTGTAATGAGATTAGCCAGATGCAGTAATGCTGGCCTGGCGCCAGGGGGTCCAGCTAGTGCCAAAATTTGAGGAGCGTAATTTTTCACGTGCTCGTCAATCGAATTCAGCCTAGAAAATTAAAATTAATCTTATTGTTACGTTGCCACTGAAGTATAAGCCAATACTTCATAAAAGCCACATATAATTATAACTGTTATTTCGTCCTTTTTAGTGAATTTAAATTATATCGTTATTTTATTTAAAAACGCGATCTTCATACACATCTTCTCACACACCACACTTACTCCTACATGTTATTGTATGCAAAATAAAAATGTATGACATTCTCACCTGTATACGATAGAAAGCGCAGTCTTGTAAGTTTGTGCTTGCGTGCTGCTGCCCCAATTTACGTCTGGTTTCCGATAAACGACAATCAAATATAGCGCGAAGATAATGACGAAGGTAACAAGTGATGTCACCCAGTCAATTAAAAACATTATGGAAACACATGTGATAAAACCGAACAAGGACAACCAGGTGTTGTAATACTGTAACATTTATCAAATTCCATTAGTCCTTTCGTCTTTATTATTATATTATTAATAATTTGTCATTATACTGTTAATTGGAATTCATTGTAAGTAATTAGTAAATTATAATGTAATTTATTGTTATATTATTAACATTATCCTTAAAGGACATCATTAGATATGGAAAATGCGAAGAAAAATGTTTTAAATGATAATTTAATCCGTGTGTAAAGTTATATGCAATTTGAGCTTACAAAGGAGTGTACTACGTCGTCACACACTAAATCTGATAAATTTTCCATGAAAAATAGAAAACAAATTTCTAACAAAAAATTTGCATAATTTTCTTACTATTTCACATTTCTAATTATCTCTTTCAAAGAAAAGTGTAAAGTAAAATAACTTGTATATTTCATTCATAAGTGTTTTTAATGATATTCTTACTCTGAAGGTAGGACGCCATCCAAGAGGTCGAATGAATGCTGCATGAAAAGTGCAGAAATTTATTAAGGCATACGAAGCCAAGTAGAAGTTTGAGATCAAAGGCGCTACTGCATTCAAGTTAGCTGAAAACAGGAACGGTAGATACAAAGATTATATTATAATATTGCAAAATATAGACAATTATTTTAAACAGTTTTTAGAGGTTTATGTAGTAATAAGAGAAAACCTTAAAACGACTTAAACTGACAAGCAAACGTGTTTGCAATGATCATTGGAGATTCTACATCAACTTTAGATTTATTAATTACAATTAAATGAATTGTTTAAACTTATAGGAAAAAAGAATATTATATAAAATCCATATCAAATATCACTTGTATATAACTTTATATGGGAATAGCTACTTTTTCGTTTAATTTTCTATTTATTGCGCTCCTAATTTTTAACATTACGTGATACATTTCTTATTGGTATAGACGATTATTAAGCAAATAATTGATAATTAACCAGTATTTACTATATATTCTACATTATCATTAAATATAACAATTATTGAAAAACTATTCTTCATTTATGATTTATTAAATGTCTACTGTCTTTAATGACAATTTCTTATGTTTCCATTTAATATTGTAAAAAAGGTTGAAATATTTGTTGTACCTATCAAAAGGAATAATGCTGCGACGAAAAACGTTAGAACATATCCACGGTAAGGTTCACCATGTTTTCCATAGCCTTTGCTGAAGTATATCAGACCAGGGTAAATACGGTCTTGTCCTAACGCCTGTATTAATCGTGGCACTGACAACAAGTTTGTTAAAGCTGTCGAGAGAGTTGCAGCAAAACATCCGGCGTATATGAATGGGCCCCAAACGGACATAAGTTGCATTACCTTAAAATAGAAAAACGATTTACGTTCAAGTTGTTTTAATATGTTACTGCAGTTGCATACAAATTTTGAGATATTTCATATTAATACATATTATCAATAGATTTAACTATTTGACACTTTTGAATAAATGAAATTAATAGATAATATTTTTGTGTAATATTATCTATCGTAAAACACTATTATTAATAATTAAATTATCATTAAGTCATTCATATTTATTCAATGAAAATATTAATTATATCATCAAAAAGACAGATTGCTTCTACGTCGAAAAATACATTAACATCAAGTGAAGGTATCGTATGGACTATTTATAAATTCATTAAGTGAAGAATTTATTAAATAGAAAAACAATATGAGAGAAATAGTATTACCATTCTCAATATAGTACCAAAATTATGAATGAGATATTTTACTTTCTTCTATTAGCATTTATTTAACATTCACAAATGGCAAGTATAATTTTCATTTTTCGAGAATTTAATGAACTAACAAGAATCTATTTGCCAAATAAGTAGCGTCTTTTTGATATGACGTATTCAATTTCATGATGATCCATTGATTACTTAAACTGTAAGTACGTACTGAATAGCTGTTATGTAATCCATAAGTGCAATTCACTTGTGGAATGCAATCTATAATGGTGTTATTTGCGATGAGACCACCGGCATCTCTTAAAGCCGCGCCACCAGCGAACAAAACGAATGTGAGGTAACTCAGCATCGAAATTAGCAGCGCGAGAAGGGTCCCTATCGGTATGCTACTGGCTGGATCCTTCAAGTCGCCAGAAATATTAGCTCCTGCCTGAATTCCGGTCACCGATGGAAAGAAAATGGCGAACACGGAGAAGAACGTCTGATTGTTGTTCTCGGAAAACCGATAATCTGGTCCCATATTGTTCATGAACACTTCGCCTAAAAATTGAAGAAAACAATTTTAATCATTAATAAATATTGATAAGCATTTAGCGTTTTAATAGTAGAAATAGCACACCCGTCAAAATTGTGGGTTTCAGTTTTCTTATTTCACGATAATTGATATCTTAAGAGTGTTAAATATCTCAATTGATTTTTAGTACAGTCTCACTTAAATACTATAATGAATATATGAAGAAATCGAAAAAAATCTATTGATATAACTTTTATAAAAATTACACATTCATCATATTAAACGTTTGGTAGTGCTAATGTTGATTACAAAGCATTGTAATATTATTGATTTCTTAATTAATTAATGAAAGTATATCTCTATATCTGTAGGATGAATGGTACGTTATGCGTACGTGTGATATATCTTACATATCTTATCTGTATGACAAGGTACAAAATATTATTAATATCAAATATTTATGTGAAAATTTCACGATCTACATACATACACGTAATTTTAATTTCTTGTAAAATTTATACGCGTTAGCTTATTATTCTATTTTTAATTATTATTAATTCAATTTTTTGTTAAGTGTAGTTGAGAAACAAATCTCAAAGTGTCAAGGGGTTTAAATTGACATGCAAATTTCAACTTAACTTACTAGAGAATCCAAGGAATCCTTGTGCTTTTTGATCGATACTTGATGGTCCCATAATTGTACCAATCAGAAAATCAAAAATCGCTGCAACAATGATGGCTATGAGGAAATTTTGTGCCTGGAATGAAATAAATTTTATACGGAGTCTTTTGGGAAAAATATATTAGTATTCAGTAATCCAATTACAATCTAATGCAAGGATATCTCATGAATTTAAATTGAATGAAAACATTTGGAAGCAATATCGTATGATAATATACTTCTACTTTTGATAAAATCTCTCAATTGCGTTGTAATCGTGAACATATCATAATATCAACTATAAATAAGGTTTATCTGAATAGGTGATTAGAATCAATTACACATTGCCATTGTTTATGTCATGCATGCATTGTCAAGGTCTCTTCTTTCGTTTAATATGTATCAAACGGAACACATCTATAATTCTTTGGTATGTATAATTGTCGAATAGAATGTAAGAGAATCGCATTTTTCTGAATATCGAAAATATGAAAGACGATAAACACGAAATGTGAACGTTATAATTGTATTAACGATTTAAATTTATGCACATTTTAATTGAAAATGAAACACGTGTAAATGAAATACGTGGTGATTATATACTAAACAAGAGAAATATGATAAATGGAGTCCCAGTAAATAAATATAGTTCAACCGATTAATAGTGTAAATTTTCTATTTACAAATAAGAAAAATATCTTTCTTGGGCGAACAATTGTTTTCAAGTTATAAAACATATAAACACATTTTTAATTTGCACGTTTATAAATGTCATTGTATATTTTTGAATAAAGAAGATGGATAGAATACTGTGAAAAATATGTAAAATATTAATTGGTACTCATTATCGATAAAAGTAGATCAAGTAATTGGTTCGTAAGAGTAGCAATTTAGATAAAAATTCGACAGTAAACAACTTTAAACTATCTGTCGACCTCCTCCAATGTAAATACACTTTTGAATTGTTTAAGAAATTGTAACTGTAATTTATTTTTATATTCTGGTCAATATTTATTTTATAATGTAAAAGTTTGACTATAAAGTTTACATAGTATTCAAAACTAAGATTGTATAAAAGACATTGTGATAGGAACTTAGATAAATATGTTATATAAAATAAATTTACACAAACATTTAAACAATCTGATTACAATCTACTATTATGCTAATATTTATATTAGTTATATTAGTAAGTGTTATAAAGGTCATTTGTATAATATATTTACTTATATTTTAATTCATACATACGTGAGGAAGTTTCGTGAACGTGATTAATATTTTTGAATCAATTGAAATGCAAATTCAACACTATTTTTACCGAAGGTATCAAAAACATTTTGTAAAACTTTAATTGAAAATCATTTTTTGAGTTCAATCATATTTCCTTAATAGAATATATAATATCATCATAAAATGAATTTAGCAGTACATGTTTTTAATAGATTATATTATGCAATTTTATAAATTTTATTGCATTACCTCCTGGTATAAATAGGTGGTAAAAATAATGTTAAATACCTCGATACAGAGAAAATTAGAGTTACTCTATTTTTATAATAAACGAATATGTACAAAAGAAAGTATTTAGACAGTACCTTTGATTCCCATTCCATTCCGATGGCGCAAATCAAAATCATAACAATGAGTGCGACTGTTCCCACTATTCGGACGTCATTTACCCCATTGTCTATGATTTTCAACTTATTTTCCCTTAGCAAGTCGTTTAGGGAGTCGCAAAAGCCAATGGTGTTCATTGATGCCGAAACCGCATTGGCAAATGCAAAAACAATTCCAACGGAAGCTCCAAATTCTGCTCCCAACGTGCGTGATATGATGAAGTATATACCACCTATAGGTATTCATGATTTATAATATATATCATTGAACTCGTTCATTTATATAAATTTAAATATGTAGTGTAAAAAATACATTATAAGATATAAAATATATTGCAAACAGATATATTGTAAATGGATTAGATACAATACAAAAGTGTGGCAATATGATATTTACGTGTAAATTGTAAAAAACTAAAAATTGCTTTTGTATTTTTTTATTACGTGAGAATAAAAGAAAGCAAACTGAACAGTCGTTTAATGTAAAATAAGTTCATCTCTATTTTCGAATCACAGTTGAAAAGTATTAAGTTCCTGTTAGATTTTCAGAAATAAAAATTCGATTAGCAGCGAATATAAATATTTATTATTTAATAAGTAATTTTACATCTACGTTGTAAACGAGTAACATTAACATACTAATATAACATAACAACGAGTCATGGTCGAAGTAATAACTTTTTGTAGCCAGATATGGAGTTCTCCGATTTTAAATTGAACTACTTTTGGGAAACTGTCGCAACTAGAACTTTGCGTTGCCGATTCCATGATTCTTGGAAAAATAATTCTCGGTGTGTGGTTAAAGCACACATTGCCACACCTTTGACAGGGAAAAAAAATGAGAAAACGGGGGCCCTGTAACACACCTCCCTTTACTTCCCCATTAGTACTAATTGCGCTAAGGCTGAGCGTTGTGATGACGCAAACTGCCGCCGATATGCCGATAATAATGACACTTTGCAATATGCCGGCCTGCGCCACTACCCAGGACAGCCGCAGGAAAAGCATTACACCCCATATGTTCAAGAGGCATGGTATTAGGACACCCTGGATCCATCCTAGCTTTATGCCCGTGTGTCCTTGTTGCGACGATCCAACTTGGCCAGCTTCTATATTAGCGTCCTGAAATTCAAACGTTCCGGATATATGATAGTGGTACAATATAACTGGGGTTTTCGTTCTTATGAAAACCTTGAAGATAACGCGAAAATGAAGAAGATGATATGAAGTGGAAAGAAGAATAAAAATAAATTGATGGAACAAACTGTAAAGAAAGTATGATAAGCGTAAAGAAGAATGAAAATGAATAAGATAAAATAAAATGTAAAGAGGAATAAAAATAAAAATAACTTGATAAAATAAAATGTTACTGATAATATTGCATACAGTATAAATAAATGTGATACTTTTTTAAGTATTTATATGAACACTACTTTAGTTTTTATGTGAATATATTTATAGAATAAATTTGTTTCATTTTAAATGGTCATTAAAATTGTTGTTTACTTTCTTCGTACAACTATTCAGCCTAGAAAGGAATCTACATTAAAACTTTTAAAGGTTAACGTTAACGTTGATAACTTTACAATACAAGCCTTTAAATTGATGGGAAAATTCTTATTTTATTATTAACCGAATAAAGTTATTCACAATCTAGTTACTATAGTTCAGGTAATATACGTTAATAAGATGTAACTTTATAATTTTTCATATTATCTCTCCATTAATTTTCGTTTATTTTAAAATAATATGGAATAGTTCGTAGCTATGTTTCACATTGGCAACATAACTTCTTGTACGATAGTACCAATTTCTTTACGTAAATACATTTAAGGTATATATTTCACTTGTTTTATACATATGAGGAACATGTAAAGACATATTCTTAAGAACGATAATCTTTTTGTTCTGTTATGATAATCTTCCTGCAGGTCACAGGTTTTACAAATTGATACTTTTTCTAATTTTCTTCGCAGCTGGTATTTACTGCTTCGCAAACCTAATATACTCTCCCCCTCAAGGTTCTCGTTATGAGTTCGATCGTCCTTACCGAAGGAGAAAACTTTTCTACGTCATGTCTCATTAAACGTGGCTACAACCGCCATCAGTTCATCTTATCAGATTTAAGTGTAAAAAATGTTTAAATTACAATACTTTCAGATTTGTTTTATGTTCCGTATTTATTTACCAGATTTTATTTATAAAACAGTTAATTCAAGCGTTTAGTAAATTATTCCACATTTTTTATAATGTCTGTCTTACTTTATTAATCAAAAGAGTTCTACAAATTAATTTTAATTAATGTTAAACCTTTGCACACGAAAATTTCTATTGTCCACATGTATTTATTATTTTCTAATGGAACTTCAATTAAACTATTAATTCTATTACATAGAAATAATACACGAATCAATGGATAGAATTATTTTATTTTAATATTTTATGTCTAATTAAATTATATAATAAATAATATTGAATATTCAATGTTATAATTTTATAATTTTGTTGCATCAAACCGAGTGGCAACTGTGGGTTGCTTCTCGAGTGCAAAAGATTAACTATGAAAGTAGTTTACTTTGAATTTAACAATATCTTTCTAAACTATAGTCTTACAAATAGTTTCGCATTCCTTTTATATTTTATTAATACTGACGACTGTTTAATGTTAGGAAACAGACGAATTTTCGTGATAAGGATTTTCAGAAATCCTTCGAGAAAACAATAATTACATTAATTGTACCTGACAAATGTCACCTTAGAGAATATGACACGTATGTGCTTACATGCAAATGCGCTGTGATATCAATATTAACATTTTCACATTTTCACTCACTTTTTTGCTAACTCGCTTGGTACATTAACATTCAAAACAAGTGAATCATATTTCTAGTTCTTATGATATAATACTACCAGTTCTTCAAAATATTCTTTCTAGTTCTAAGGTAAATATGAAATTTTTATTATTTTTCTCTATAAGTTCAAAATAATTTATTCTACAACTAAATGAATATCAATGCAATTTTTGGAAACCGAACCACTAATATCTGTTACATAATTTACAGTATAATTTTCAATGGAATGGAAGTAGAAACTTTAAGTCATATAAGTCGATAAAAAAAACAACACCTTAAAAGATGGTTTTCTTATTAACATTCAAGCTTATTAACACTCTTCGAAACAAATATTTATTTTCAAACTTTTATAACATGCGTAAAAAACACTTCTTTCTTCGTTTTTATTTAGTTTTGGTTTACCCAGTGAACGGTTGAAAACTCTTCTTTTTGTTTTTTATAAAGGATCGTCAAAATGTTTGCATCGACCCAATATTATCGAAATTAAGGAAGATTTTATATATTATAGTTTAATGTTTATAAGCTTCGTTCTTGAAAAATAATTTGTTGAGTAGCGATTTGTAAAAATGATCAATTTTTAATGCACATTGATGTATCACAACAAGGACACTGTTCATAGATGAATGTCCTTTGGATGTGGCAACCTTACCTTTATAAGATTTCCTTCGTGCAGGGTGCTCAGAGATGGTCTTTTAGCGCGCCGACTCAATCTACAAACACAGACGTCCTTGTTACTTGATGTAATAGTATCAACGAGGGAATGAAGTTAATTAAATTAGGATAAATTGACGAACGGGGAGGAAAAGTCGATTAACGTCGGAAACATAATTCTCCGTTCGAGTGTGAAAGAGCCTTAAAATATTGGATCGGTCAACCGATCTTTCTGCAGCCTTCAAACTTTGCTCTTAATTGCTAATTACAAGTCAATTGAACATGATTTATAGTGACGATATAACGTAACTAATTAAATTTTGTGGGTGTAGGGTAAACTTTAAAGATGATGCATTCACCCATTCAAGTAAATAAATTGTTAACACTAGAACTACCGAGAATTTAACATCGGGTTACGGACATTTATTGTACAGTTTATTTCATTGGTATTAGAAAGCTTGATATTCGTTCATTTAGATTTTTTAAATTAGAGGTTTAAAGATTAGACAATTAAAATACACGTTTGGATTATTGCATTAATAAAAATCGATATAAGCATTTACTAAATAACATCAAATTGGCGCGTTCCGTAAACCTAGTGTTAATATGATTGATATGTAATCACTATAAAAGTTGTAACAATAGATTATTTTCAGTTTCTGCAGACATTCCTTATAATATTCAAGCGAAACTATTTATTTTCAAAATCATTTCGAATATTCAATGCTTTTAAGATATTAATAATTACGAAACAAACAAATTGAAACCAGTCATTTTTAATGATACGGTAGTTCTAGTGTTAATCTAATCCGGAGTATTTCGATCACGGATAAAATTGTATCGATATGTTTCTTCTTATTTCAACTTAAACGAAATTACATTAGGTCTATACAAAGTTTCATAGTTATGTTTTAGTGATACCTAGCTTTCATATGGAATATTACATATTACAACAACAGCAAATTTTATGTATCAACCTGTACATGTTGTTGATACTAAACATCATAATGATGATATTCAATGAAATATGATTACTTGAAATATAAATGAAAACTGCATGGACTTGATGAATTTGCGAATATAAAGGAAAGTGTCACATGTTGCGTGTTCTCCACTTTGAACTTTGAGGTAGAGCGATTTAAAGTTTTACCAGCTGATATTTACAGATTACGGTATTTAAACAATCTTATGTCAACAGCTATTTCATTTTTAACGTGAATCGTAAATCCGTAACACGATCCCATAGGTTTTAGCTGCTCGACGACCCGCGATTCGCGGTGCCTTGATTCCTTGGAAACTAGTTAATGTGCGGCCTTCTGCTATATTGAATGACACAGTGCGGTGCACCGTTAAAATTGTCTTAACTAACGTAGTATAGACCATTGTATACAGCAGTATTATATTTAACAGAACAATAACTTATTTCTGAAATCTCTACCGGCACTCTATCTATGTAACATTATTTACACTGTGCAATGTTTTCAAACATATCTAGTAAATAAATCTTACAACGAACGTATGTACATAACAATATTTTAAATCAAATTAATTAACTTGTTTTTATAATTTTCATTAGTAACTAATTTTTAAAGTATTATTTACATTATATAATACTTTGTAGCATACGAAATAAACTTCATAATTTTTGGCCAAACATTTACAAAATATTTTGGGATATTCAATTAATGAAATATCCTGTAGATTTCGATTATGCTGTAACTAAATAACGATTGTATGATTTCGATAATCAATTGTAATAATCGTTTGATCTTTGAAACATTAGCGTTTCCATATAACTATTCTGTGCAACTACTTTCACCGATATTTCAACATCTCTGAACCTTTACGGAAACGTCTGCTTCGATATGTGGCTAAGAAGATTTCTTTTTGGTTGATTCCTATTAATTATATATTTGCATTAGAATATAATGAATTTTATATATTATGTACTATATTTTTATGTTAATATTATATTATATTCTTGAGTTATATTATACATTATATGATATATATAATATATTAATCAGTAGCCTATTTTACTTTTACATTCATTTATTCAGTGTTTAATGGTCTTTTAATTTCCACAAAGAAATATTGGAATTTTCCGCTTAAAAAAAGAAAAGTAACCTTCGGAGCTTTTTACGTAAACGAGGCATAAAGAAATATTTATTCTGACGCAGGAAGAGTTCACAAGTAATTCCTGTACTTCTGTACTCAGAATTTACTGTGTACCATACTTCTGTACTCAGAAATTTGGGAAGTCTGTACATCTGCAAATGTTCAGGAAATTCCCACATAGACGTGAAAAAGCTCCTTACGAAGCGTTTAGTTTTCTTTGCGATTAAGTGTTAGCTTGTCCTGTATCATCGACTGAAATGTACATATTGCTATGTACCTTGGGTTTGCAGAATCTATTTTTGTACATACGTTCGGTTACTATAGTTTTTAGCCGTTTTCTTCGAAGAACACTTTTTCGTTTGATCGTCTTTGATACACTTTTATGATAAAACTTTATTGAGTGGTAATACCAAAAAATATGATTATTACGATAGATATTTTTTAATTTTGTTTATATACACATTTTGATAGTTATATTAGTATATTCACCTAACCTAGGTAACGAATATAATATTGTTCATAAAACTTGCAACACTGATGATAAAAAAAATAATGATGATGATGATACTTATATTAAGAAATTCACACCATTAAATATTTAAGAAAAAAATGACACAGTAAAGCTTTTGTTATCATCATACTTATCACAGATTTTAATGTATTATATATCCAAAATGAAACTCTTACATTAAGTTTGTCTTTGATAGCTTATCTGTTTTCGATTGAAAAAAGGAAACGATGCATTAGTATTGAAAGCAATAAAAAAATTTGCAACATATTTCCGATCGGAAAACATGATAAACACAAATTAAGCATTATCAATACCAGAAAAAATAATTTTAACCAATATTTAAATACACATATTTTAAACGTACCTGTAATGGTCTAAACGCGGGACAACGTCCCATAGTCCAGTGACGTTTAAAGTCATCGGTGACCTTTTATTATTCTGATTGTTACCAATTACCTCATCGTCCATAGCTTTAAATGCTGTTCACCAGCGTCTTATTGAATCTATAACAATAAAACAGAAACAGGTGAAAATTTATTTATGTACTTGTAAATAATTCTTTTTGATGTAAAATAATTGTTAATAATTATTTTCAAAATTGATTAAGCAACAGCTAATGAAGAATTTATTGTGGAAATAATATTGTCATTATTATATAATATTATCAGTCGACATACAAATTTCTATCATACGATGCAACAGGTTTTATTTTTAGTAGAATTCCTCGCATAACATGATTTCAGTTCACAGAAATAATATTTTACTGTCCTTTAACAAAATTCCAGTCACAGTTATATTAGATAGGATTGTTCTCACTGCTTTTTTTATCAACCTTATCTTCTTCAAGTGTTAGAAATATTTATTAAATAAAACAGTTGCAAAGAAAATTTAAAGCTGTTTATATTTAATAGATTTAACCTTTTGTCCGTTTTATTATATTTTTACCGGATTATTATTATGAAGTATCTGACAAAATGTTCTCCTGTTAAAAACATCTTTTTATAATTTATATAATCTATAATTAAGATGAATTACAAATATGAATGGAGCACTAAAGAAAATGTAAACTTTTTCGTTTTTCAGTACATTTGTATTAACGTCATCATAGAGTTCCTACGATTTTGATAAGATTCCTAAGACGTATATAAAGAAATAGTCCAATATTTTAACACTAAAATTTGAAAATATTAAAAAATGGCGTTAACCGTTTTCTGTTTTCCGGTACATTTGTATTAGTGCTGTTATTAATCTTTTGCACTATGATCTTTTTCACAACTGGGCTCAACATAACTATTTCATTGTTCAAAATTCATTAGAAAAAGAAAAAAATTGTACTCGTAAGCATTACAATTAGTAATAAAAAAAATAATATTCAATTCATACTTGAAACAATTAAGTGACATTTATGTTTCTTAAATTCTATTTGAAATCTTCGCTCTGAGCCTGACACGATATTGTAAGACAAAAGGTTAAACTCCGAAGACTTTGATAAGATTCCAAAAATTTACATAAGGAACAGTTGAATATTTAATGCTGAAAATTGAAAACATTAACAAAATGGCCTTTGTCCGACACACATGCATACTAACTGTACCAGAACTTTTCCTACCGTAACTAGTCAAATAACTGTCTACAAAATAAAAGTAAAGAAGTCAAATGACAATTTATTTTGAGTGGAAACAGAAACAAAAGGAAAGATAAAAATTGCAAAAACTGATTATATACAATATAGGAGTCGAAAGTTAACACGTTGACTGCCAAGAAAAACTTCAGCGTTTTATGTATCACTTATTTTTTTGCAGCAAAAATATAAAGGAACAGTTATCAATTATTTGGTACACAACTATTAGGTTATGAATTATAATTTTCTTCAACTAATTTGGAAGCTCCGGTCATCGGTGGCTACCCTTGCAGTCAACGTGTTAACCAGTTAACTGTGTTTGATGATACACGTCATCTTAAATCTTCAAATGACACTAATCCTTTCAACAATGAATTCTTTATTTTTTCAGATAAACATGTAATTCGTCTTTGCTTTGCTTTTGTTTTTCATTAAAATATATCCTAAGTGCGTTCCTCTTGCGTTTGACGAGTACACACTTCATTTTTTTATTTTATTGCGTACGAAATAAGAGATTTTTCAAACAAAATTCCACAGTGAACAGGTTAAATGAATGGAAGAACGCGCAAAATCTGAAATTCGATTATTTGATACTGGATCCCCGATACGGTTAGCGTTAATATTTCGCGTTTCGAACTGCCTCCGTGCGAAGCCAGAGTAAACATCTAAATCCCCGTTTATTCTTTGGATCATATTTCCAGCCTTTGTTCTAAAGCTCCAAAGAAACTTCGCGGGAGAAAAAGAAGAGAAAAAAGGAAAACAAGATGCATTGTACGCATACTTGGTCAGAATATTCATGATTGTTTATAGTCTCATGTTCTTAACCTTCAGGTATTTTTAAAGATCGTTAAGTTAGAGGGGTAATGGCGGGAAGCTTGCGCGCGGTGGTCGATGGAAAAATAGATTTTCGGAGAAAGGCGGATTTGTTGCTACGACGTTCGAGCGAAAATGCGGGTGCTACGTATTTCCCCTGTTCGTCGCGTTACTGGCTTGCGTACGCGTGCTCGTAGCGCGCGAAATTCCCCTGAAATTACTTGGCCCCGTTCCCGGAAAACGTAACAGTTGACTTGACAGTTAGCCAAACGTTCCTTTCATTCATAGTTTCACATGGGTCAGTCACAGTTTGGTCAAACTAGTTTTTATTGAATCTAAAATTCACTCGTGACGTTACTTGTAGTAGAACTTGGAACACTAATAATTATAATAATTATTAAAACAATGATTACTATAATAATATTATTAAAACAGTAATAATTATTAATGTAGATCGCAATTATTAGTATTCCAAGTTCTACTACGAGTGATGTCACGAGTGAATTTTAGTTTCAATAAAAACTAATTTATATAAAATATATAATATAAAATACAATAATTATTATATGAATTTTATATGAATATTATTATTATGTTAATAATATTTTAATACACTATTGGTTAAAAGTTTGCAACCACTTGATATGCAACATTACAAATTAAACATCATATATCTTATAAATATATAAAATAACAAAAATTATGTATCTTTATATTTGACTAATACACATATGACCATGTTCCTTTATCACGCACGAAGACTTTCCAATAAAAATTTTTTACAAAAAGTGGAAGTTTTTCTTTTAACCGGTATATTGGTCCCAAAATGTTCACCGACAGTGTACGTATTTAATTTTTCTTTTTTCAATATAGATCATTACCATGAATTCTAAATCACGAACTCCCAAGTGAAATCATATTTCTTTTTAAATTGTATATAAAGATGTGAATTAAACAGAAATGTGTTTCTATTATTGAGAATTATTTTGGTGTATAAAAATGTGATCATAAGATTATTTATTTTAATTTCAGTTTTTATTTCTTTATGTTTTGAATATGAGTATGTATTGGAATTACGTAAAATCCACAGTCTAATGATTGTTAAAATTTAGTAGGCTTTCAGTGATATTACATATCGCTAAATATCAATTTAAATGCATATCAATAAAAAATAGCAATTATTTAATAAAGAATTTTGCAAAAATAAGAAAACTAAAAAAAAATTACGATTTTTTTGTGGCAAATAATAAGAAGATTCATGCATCTCATTGAAGAGCGCATTACCTTAACTTTTTGCGCACTCTTCTACGTCAGTCGGTAATTTGGTTTCACTTGGTTCGTGAATATATAGATTTATAAGGAATCCGATAATTACATGACACTTAATAGTTTCCGTAAATAACAAACCAATGAAAACAGAGATGTCTGAGTCATTATCGTTTTGTGTTACGATTATCCTTTTCAATTCTTTGTAGAGATCTCCGTTTGACGAGTATTTAAATACACGTAACACATGCGATTAATATATCTGTGTTTCAATCCGTATAGTTTTTAATATACGAGTAAGTACATATACATCAAAATATACAGGTGCACGTAAATTTATTAACATATTCATATTCAATTTTATATGTATAAAATATCTATAAATGTATGGACTTATTAATATTTTGTTATTTCGTAACATATTAATAATCTTTCAACACAAAATACAATTTATAATAATAACCATTGAATTATGACGATTCATACCATTAAAATTATTACATATAACAAAGCATGTATTATTTTGTAAATGGATTTCAAAATTTTGTTATACATTAATGATTGCTGGAAATAAAATATGAATCTGTTAATATATATTCAGTACCATGGCCTGCGTGGTATTAAAGATTATGGTTAAATAATTGACATGTTCAGCGATTAATTAGAGTTGTAATAGTAATTGAAATTATGAGTATCAGTAATCTGAACTTATATAAATTATGCCATTCCATGGACATCTTTCTGCGCAGGTTTTCTTTTTCGAAGAAATCCATTTCGGATTAATTCATTTCGAATTTATTTATAGGTCTGTTCAAAACTAAAAATTTCTATGATACTGAAACTTGCATTCAAAATTAAATAATACTGTGTCATAATCAGTATTCATTATAAGTATCAATTTGTCCATATTTATTGTAAGAACTTTATTTATATTATATAAATTGAGAATTTTATTACAAAAACAATCATTTTTCTATATTTAATAATTGAATTATGGAGTTAGCATAATAATGTTGACATGTTCATTGCGAAAAAGTATTTCATAGACTAAATTTCAATTTCACTGAACTTCATAATTTTTTCGTATTTTTTCAAACAACCAAGGAAAATGTAAAAGATCTATCTGAACTTTCGAGTTGCGATTCCAATACATTCAATTTACAGCCTGAAACTTCCCTTTATAGTTTGAATTTCGCTAACGAGATTTGTTCATCTCAGAGAATTCTTAAGTAAACTTAAACAGACAATGAGGTAATATAAACTTGAAGTATAGCTTATCTGTGCTAACAAAGTACCAGAAAAGTCAGTCGATCTTCGAACTTCGTGCTGTGAACTTGTAACATATATTAACTGTGTTTTTTCGAGATATTTATACTTCATGAAGTTGAAACTACTCGTAGGGAAATTTTATACGTAAAAATTAAATAATTTTTCATTTTAAGTTAGAGCTAAAGTTTATCAATTATAACGAGAAATATAAATATTTCTCTGTATTTTTATTTTATCATTTTATCATTTTCATTTATGTTAATAATATTTCTATATAAATATTTCTCTTTGAACTAGACTGACAAGGAAAAGTATCGAATCCGGAAATTTAAAAAATTATTAAACTTTCTGTGTTAATAGAGTAAGTCAAGCCTATTACATTGCAATTTTGTTTAGCTGAATTTCACTTGGAAGGGCTGACATCACCCCTTGAAGAAAATGCAAATTTTTCTTCCCCATGGATACCTTGAGAACGGCAAGAGATAGCGGAAAAAAGTTCAAACAAAAAATATATTATTCTTTCGCGTCTATAAA